AGTGATGTTTGTTTCTGAATTTGTCTGATAAAATAATTTAAAAGACGCAAAGTAGTGAGACTCATGTTACTGCAAAGATTGGAATCGTTGTCAGATCTACATGCAAAATCGGCAAGTGTGCAGAATGGAGCGAGTTTATATAGCAAGCACCTGGGTCGGCTTAGGGCGAAGCAGCACCAAGTGGACCGAATGGCTTGTGTCTGCAATGCAGTGATCAAGTGTACGCGATATTTTGTAGCAGCGGACTCGAGCCGCAGAGAGACCACGCCTCGCAACCCTTGCGCGAACACCCTCGCAAAACACGCCCCCAAGAACCGCCCCTTTATTTACATGCTCATTGCTTTCGCCAAATTTTGGCTCCACTGGCTCCAGCCAATATGCGAATAATATATGCTTGTGCAAATAAACAGACGGAACGATAAATCAGATTGCTTTTTTCGCCTGCATATCATTTTCGTGCCAGTTCCGTCTGAGACTGCAACATTTCATTTGCCTCGTCGATGTGGACTTTTTAACACAGCTTTCTTTAAAGCATCCTTTTAATAAAAGACGCACACTTTCAGTCATAAACCAATTAATAATTTTACGTTATTAGAAAAAAGAATAACAGTTTTTTCCATTTTATTTGTCTGTTCTTTTTTTTTTAATAAGCGCTGGGCAAATTAACGCGACCTTCAAATAGATACAATCAATCAAACGTCCTATTAGCAAAACAATACAAGGAAACTTTGCCTAGCCGTGGCACCGAAATAAAATTCGTCGTGCGGATTCCTGGAAGCAGACGTTTTACGCAAGGCTTTAATTTATGACTGCGGTGGCTATCGCTCCAGCCATTAGCACCAGCTTTCCTTGTCAATGCTGCTGCGTTGCGAACTAGTGGAGCGAAATAAGAAACAAACCCGGCTGTTTTTTATCGGCGCACGCCTTCGTGCCCACCGAATTTGGTATTCCAACAGTCAGCAGCGAGGAGGGCATCCCCATTGAATTTTATTAATAGCGGCCGGCGTACCAGGAAAGTTGTAATAGAAAAGAATCTTGACGCATGCTGTGAATTAGGAATTATTTTTTCCTCTTTGTTTGTCAAATTAAGCAAGAAAAATGTTTCACATTGCCATAAATGATGCGATACTAAAATTATCCTATATTATTCAAAATTTGGAGAAAAAATGAGAAAGAAAATAACGTATTTTGTGTGTTTTTTTATACATCTATTTTGAACGTTTTCTAGGAACCTATGCAGGGGTCATATATAAACACCTACATTTGAACAAGTGGGTAGATCACACTTGAGTTGATAGCGATTGTCAAACAGAAGCTGCACAACAAAATAGGCCGCGCATTATAATGTTTCAAACTCTGATTAGCATGCAAATTGCCTGTTCTCTGGCGCATAAAACGCCCGCTGATGCCGCTTCAAGTGGAACTAGTTAAATCGGAATAACAAATTTCTCATGAATAATAGGTGCGTGAATGAAAGGAGACCACGTCCAATTGGCTGCGGGTCGACAGGCAAAAGGAAAGAGAAGATGAGACTCTCTGACTTTGCAGCATTTGCGCCGTGATTGGAGCAAGCTCTGGTTTCTCATTAGCCCATATATTCCGATCACGGATGTGACGCAGCAGGGCCTTGAACTGTCACTCGTCGGTAGCTTTTCATGAAACGCGACAAATTTCATGGGAGAGGCAGAGAAAAATTGGCAAATGATTATGTGTGCTCCACCTTGGCAGACAATTTATTTTATGGCACTTCTCGTGACTCTATGAATTTAATGTGACTTTGTGCTACAAGAAAAGTCTTTTAAACACCAGTCAAATTTCAAATTAGTAAACGGAAAAACCAAGTAAAAAATGAATTTTATAAAAACTGACACAATTTTTTAATTGAGTTACAAATTTCTCTAAAATAAAATTCCGAATTAAGGTTTTAAAAGTTTTAAATGATCGAAAGTGTGAAAAAATTATTGAAATGAATGAAATATATTTTTATTTAATTAATTATAAAGTTATTTATTTAATTCAATTATTTTATATGTTTAAATTATTGCTTTCGAATGAGGCCCATTAATGTGCCGAACACACACAGCGGCAACAAACGTGACTGAATGTGCGCCGGGTCGGCGTTTTACTCTTTCCTTGGAGATTTCCGGACAGGTGATTAATAGCAAGAAGTTTGGCCGACAATAAGAGGCGACGCAACTTTTTCGATCAAAAATTAATAGGGCTGCAAATATCACTGACGTGTGTCGCAGGGAGAGGGGGTAGACCTGTTGCATAAAAGAAGGACATATAACATACACGGGCGAGTTGAAGCTCGCCCTGCAAACTAACTTGTCATTGTCACAGCCTCTCAATGTCATCCTCATTCGTGTGTGCACCGAGCACTGCGCCTCACATAAAAAGAATAATTACAATTAGATTACTTAAATCCGACATTACAAGAGGCACCACATGTTCACCCTTGGAGACGCTGACTTAGCACATTGCACTTCTTGTGCTTTTTTCGATAAAAATTGCATAATATATTTTCCAGACATTGCGTTGAAGATATTCAAGGACTGTTCTAACTAGATAAGCCATCAACTATACAGCTACCGATTTATAATGTATTTTTCTTGTCAAAATTTATTGCAATAAAAATAAACTTTTGAAAAAAATTAATAATTTATTGTGGTTTTGTATATTAGATTATTATTGCTTATTATACAATTTAACTGTTATAATAGCGTAAGCGTAATTACTATGTTCGTTTTTTATCAGCGATCTAAATCCAATAACTTTTTTTTACAATATAATTATTCCGACTGGAATCAAAACAAGTTTGCAGAGTGGTTTCTCTTCCTTATATGCCCGTGGGGACTGAATGAGTTCTGCTGCCTAATTAATAGTTTTTGCGCGAGGTGTGGTGGCCGAAGGGATCGAAGAAAGAGGCAACATGCGAATCAAGAAAAGAAAGGGAACCCACTCGCGCACGCACTCAATTGGCGGATAAATTTTACCCGAGCCGGCTCATCATCTTGGGTCGGTTGGCGGCAATCGGGTCCGGAAACTGGCAAGGCGTATTGTCTGAAATAATTACAGCACCAAGAGCTGCGCAGGAAGTACCACATGAAAGAAACAAGTGAGTGAGCGGAGCTGCGAGATTTTATAGTTAGTAGGCCATCGCGTTCACACGACCAAAAAAGCGCTGCTGCTTTTTCTCTCCGCCGAGAGTATCACGAGAAGTCGACCATTAAAAATATTTTAAGAGATGGGAAATTAATTAAGAATCAAGTCGAAAGGAAATTCGTTGAAATGTGAACGCTCATTATCGCGTTCATTCCGCGCGAGCCGGCGTTTTGCTCCGCACCGATGCGAGCACATAACAAGTCTTTGGAAGGAGCATTAAAAAATTATATATATATATATATATATATATAATATATATATATATAAAAAAAAACATTTAAAATAAGACCGATTAACTTTAGATGAGCGAGTTTAGTTAATCTTTTTGCTGAGTACAGACATGCCAAAATTTAAAATCAATACAGGCTTGTCAAAAGTTAAATGTAGCTTCTTGAAATAATGTTATGCTGATTTCTATCACAGGCATGTGAAAATGACAGCTCGAAGTTCAAAAATAATGTAAATAAAAGTTGTTGAATAGTCTTGAGGTTGCTATCCTTGAATAAGTCGCTCGTCACAAGTGGAAAATCTTACTTGTAGTACCGCATTTCTATGGATTCAGCACACGTGATTTTTTTTTAGCGCAAAAGAGCATCTATAGGATTTGAGGTCGATTAGTTTTGATGACGCCTATTATTTGTGTTTTCGCAGAAATAGTAAAAAGAAAATTGAGCTGTAATTATTTCCTGTCATTCACAAGCCCTAGTGTTGCAGGAAGGAAGCGAAGGATCATGTGAATATCGTAATTTTCATTCTAAGTTTATTTTTACCAAGTCTCAAGGCAAATCATTCACTCTCCATTGGACTTGCAAAAAAATTGTGGTTTCCGTTAATCGAGCGGAAATGTCACCAATTATAGGCGTAAACTCTCGGCAGTGAAAATTTAGAATGCACTGAAAATTGGCGACCTTAGAAAGTTAATTTGGCTCAGCCAACCAGAGGAGTGAGTGAGAGCCAAATTTTGCCGCTGCACCGATTCACGTGAAGGTCGTCGCTGCACAGAACAAATTTTATGTCACACATCAAACAAACGCCCTACAAAAGAGCGTGTTCATGTGTTATGTCGCACATGCGAGGCAGCCATGGCGCGTTTTGTTATTATATCTAATCACTATCAGGCCACACACAAGGAAGATAACAACAAAATATAACTTCCAATATGTATGTGCCGCGTGAAACTCAAGCTCACTCGCGCATGAACAAAAAAGATAATTTGTCTGCGAGCTGAATTGGAAACGTTGCCAGCATGGATCGATCTGGAGGTTCTTTGACCTTAAAAGTGACCTCCCGTAGCAAATCAATCATCCGACACTAAAAACGAGTGGCTTTTAAAGCAATTAGGCCAAACCGCAAACAGTTGTTCAGATTAAAACAAAAAATCTGACCATGTATAATTTTTTTGCTGAAAAAGCTAGGCTGATTTGAATGAAAAATATGAAATTCTAATTCCGTTTGAATGATTCCCTGTTTGGTCGTTGAATAAAATTTGCACACTAAAAAAACTGCAATTTCAAGCAAGGTACTGCATTTCAATTGACGGAAGAAAGAGAATGGACAATAAAAGTACAATAGAAACTCGTTTCCTTCCACAAGATCATTTCCACAAAAAAAGAATTTTTTTCGGCACGGCCGTAGCGCAAGTAAGTATAGAGTCGTTTAAAAAGCGAAGTAGTGACCTCGACGAGTAGGCAGGAAAGTAATTTCGCGCGCGCGTGATGTGTACATTCGCACACAGCATACGTGGTGTATTATTTTTGATCCGCGCGCGAGTGTACGAGCAATAGGCCTACTTGGCGCAGGCCTTGAATAGTAAATAATAATACAACAGAGCGAACGTGTAGTGCGTTGTTGGGGCCGTCCACTGATAGATAGATAATCAGCCATCTGCAATAAGATTCACACAAACACACAGCCGCACCACCAATTACAATATTGGCGGCCACCGCAAATTGCGCACTAAATTAAGAAACAAAGATGGCTGGTCGAGTGAGTGCACAAGAGCTAGAAAAGTGAGCGAGGCGAAATCGGCCGCCCACCTTGCCAGGACCAAAAAACAGGTGCAACGAATTGGGCGAACACAAAGTAAAAAATAAAATGCAAATGTGTCCGGGTAAACAATGCAACTCACCCAAGGCTCGGGTCCATTTCGGAGGGCAGCGAAAAAGTTGCGGGGCGAAAATTGGGCTTTGGAGCAGAAGCGTCGTCTGTCGTGCCAGGGAATTTCGATAATAAAATAATAATTTTGGCAAATTTCTATCCCCCCTTTGTGTTTGCAGGTTTATGCTCACGTTCGCCAATGGGGAGGCCAATCGGCGGTGGTGGGGGCTGCCGCCGCAGTTCTAATGCAGTGAGTGAGTGACCTTCTCCTCTAGCATAACCAGTGACTAGGACAAGGAGGGGAAAGTGAGCACCGCTGACGTCACCGCGTCGAAAAACCTCATGCTTTTGATGCCGCCTCCCACACTAGGCTTGTTTTTGCGGCGAGTGTACCTGCGCGCCCTCCAGTTTCTCATCGTTACCCGGGGACGCGAAACTCATTTTCTACGATTTGGATTTATATAAAAGGCAGAGACCTTAATAACAATTCCAAAGGTGATTTTGATCAAAATAAAAAAATAAAAAAACAGGAAGGCAAAAGCAAAAGCCCCTAAACAAATCTCCAAATTTATGTTCGAACAGTCCATTATACTTTCAAGTTTACACCTCAGGTGAATAAATGAATAAAAAAAATACAAGATGGCTCTTGCTCTAGAAAAAGCCAGCATCTCTTATACGCCGCGACTCTCCTGTTACTTCGGCGCTAGAGAAGGGCAACGGCATTGCTGTTGAGATAGGAAAGCAGAAACTGCGCCATTTTTGCTGTGGTGAATGTTTGAGCAGCGTTATCTGCATGACGTAATTTTTGCTCAATAATTAATTTAAAATTTTTCAATGGCTTCAGATTTAACACATAAAATTTATGAATGGAATGAAGATAAAAATTATTTTGTGAATCAGAAAATAAAATAGTATATGGGGTGCGGTAAAATTAAAAATTGCCTTTCCTGACATAATATTTGTAATTTTCTTCTTCGAAACAAATATGGTGAACAAATGTTTTGGAATTGAGTGGGCATTGAAGACTAAAATTATTTTATTAGAAATTTTATAGAGTCAATAATTTATAATTAAGATTTAAGATATAAAATGTCAAAAAGTTACAAGTTAAAAAGGAAAACAAGATTGTTAAATGTAACACAGTTGAATTTTGTCCAGAAAAAATTTGAGAATTGATTGTGTAAAATTGTGTTTTGTAATTTTAATTTAAGGAGGACAGTATTATGATTTCAATGATTATGTTTAACTTTAAATGCAAGGAATTAAGTTAGGCCAGCATAAATTAGAAAAGTAGAGAAAATTTAAAATAAGAATTGTGTTTTGAAATTATGTTTACGTTGTGAGATAAGAGTGCTTACAAATCGCGACACTTAAATCTAAGCTGTGTTTTAAAATTGTTGTCAAAATGTTAGAATAATTATATGTGCGAATAGTTCAAGCTCACCTCCTACATTCGTCGGCACTGTCGGCAAGCAAAATCGTGTCGAAAATCATCGCCGCATCGCGGCAGATCTTTTTCTTTCCGCCGGAAAAGAAAAGGCGCGTCGGGTGCTTCGGACAATGGATGATTTTCTCAGTTTGGCTGACAGAGTTGCTGAGAAGCCACACAAAGGAATTAAAAAATCATGACGGGCTGTGCTTCGCTCATTTTGCTGCGCTCGTTCTTTTTTGGAGAGCCACAAACCCAAGGTCTAGCGGTCAATCACTCCGCACCACTCTTGTAATTTGCAAAACGCTGATTGCAAGGTGGGGGGAAAATGTGCCCGCTCTGCTCTCGCGAATCGCACATACCGAATTCGTTCGCCGTGGCACACCATCTTTCTCCGCACGACTTTGTTGCCAATTTGCCACGGGACACGGCCGTGCCGTCCCGCGGGACACACCGCGCGCGACTCATCTTTCTTTCTTTCCTTTTTGCGGCGCCACGACTCGAAACTCACACGCTCGACAAGGCAGAGGGGTGTGCGATTAAAATTTTATGCCTCTGCACTTCGTCGCAGCAGCAGCGGCAAATAATTCCTCCAGAGAGGCCGTCACGGCTTAAGTGCAAAATTTATTTTCTTCGCCAAGCTGAATCACGCCCACTTGCTCTTTAGTGGAGGAATTTCTGCAACTCTAGCAAGAGTTCACACCGAGATTCAATTCGATTATAATAATTTACCAATTAACTAAAATAAAGTGAATCAACAAGAAATGTTGATAAAAGGAAAACGGGTGCCATTTCCATATCATTTGCAAATCGACGAACTGTGAACTGCTCAAAAATTTAATTAATTTCTGATTCAATAACAAGAAAAACATTTAGATAAAAATAGTCACTAGGGTTTATGTAGACCAAAATTAGTAATAAAATTAAAAACAATTATTTACGGTAATAATTGGAAATTATTTTGCGTTAAATTTGCAAAAGATAATTTTAAGAAAATTTTTTTTTATTCATTAACAAGAAATTTTGGTTCGATTTAGAGGAATATTATTTTTTTTTGTGCGCAGCTGTGACACTTGAGATTGCAATCTGTATCGGTTCTCTTTTTCCAGGTTTGTTATTTAATTCTAAAAGCTGTATAGAGTTGTCGGTGGAACCACTAAGGAGTTGTATGTGCTTGTGATTGCATTACACGCAGAGTGCCAACGAGATTATTTCGCAGCCGGCAGCATTATTCGCAGGCAGGACGAGAGGGCTGCTGCAAAAACAAGATTATTTCCTTGAGGCTCTGGGGCATTGCCTGTGCTGCTCTTTTGTTGATGGGCCCCGATTCAATTTCCAGCTTAATTTATCAGCGCAACACAATTTCCATCTGTCCACCCAAGTTTACGAGCTACCCGTGACTCTGCTGATTCTTTGTTCGCCGACATAAAGGACACGCATAACGCGTAATGTGTAGTGGCCGAGTGCGTGCAAAATAGCTAAATTCCGTGGATGCGGTCGCTTAGTGGACGCAGATTTGCTTTGGTGCTTGAAAATCAATCAATTTTGACTGATAAAAAATATAAAGGCCATAAAAGAAAACAGTTTGTAAAGATACAAATGAAATTTCTACAGCGTTCAAAATTTTGATTTTTTTATGAGAATAAATTTAAATCTTTTTAATTTCAGTTAAAGTCTTTATCTGTCCTGATGTGTAATTAAGACGATAAAAAGTTTTAAGTTATTTTTCAAAAATTCTAGGACGGGAGTTTTGTTTCCAGCAAAATTTCCCTGTAAGAAGCAAAACGAGTTGTAAAATTTCTTATTCTCACATTTTACAAGAGAGGAGTTAACTCCGTAAGACTCTTAAAAATAATCCCAAGAAATAACTTGAAAAATTATGGGACCCAATTAAAAGGTTAGTTGATTTAGTTTACATTTGTATTTATGAAAGAAACCCATAAAAAAATAAGTATTTTTATATTAAAATCAAAGGAAATAACCTTTATTTAAAATAGGTTTGGCTTAATAAAAATGTTTTGTTTTCTGGTGAATGACCCGACGTTTGGCAAAACAAAGCAAGGCACAAAAAATTAAAAGTAAAGAAAGTGTTGCGTCGGGCGAGCCCTTGACTTGGGCTAAAAACAGAATATTGATCTGGGGGTGCGACTTCTTTTTAGTCTACTTTTCAGCTTCCTTCTTTCGTTTGCTTCCACTGGCGACGTTTGAATCGTCATTAAAAACTGTCGCAGGAGCCAGACAATGGAGCGGAATTTATGCTGCCAGCGGTGGTTGGTTGGCTGGCTGGCTGGCTGACATCGCCCGCTCTCTCAACAGTCGTACTGCGGCAAAGGGCGAGTCGGTCGGTGCTGCAACCCGCAACGCATGTCGCATTGATTGCCCGCAGCAAGAACCAACAAACTGCGCCGCTGCCGGACGCCGCCGCGCTTTCTTTTCCCAAAACCGCCGCCGATTAATCACTCGGGACCGCCTTTAATTGATTGCACAGCGCAAATCGATGCAGCTCGAATAAATTTGCCGATGACAAATAAATTTAATTCACTTGTGTCTCTTGCCGCGGGCGACAGATTTCGGCAGCCGGACCGAATCTGCGGTCGCTGCGACAGAAAAACACTGCAGAGGCTTTGGTGTTTTGTGGCTTTCGTTCTCTCACAGCCATTAGCGATGGTAAAAACACTCTGGGCCAAGGAAATGCTTGTTTTTGCATCATATTACATCCTTACGGCCTTTCCATATCTGCTGCTGGCAAAAATTACTGTCGCGAAAGCTGTTTAAGCTCTGCCGACTTTGCCAAATATTTGTTTTACCATTAAAATGCTCACAGAAGAGTTGCCACAACAAGAAATTCAATCATTATCTATTTTTCATAATAAAATTAATTTTGCAGCAATGCGAATGAGGAAATACCAAACGAAGTCGGATTTTTATAATATCATTTTTATAGCTCTTTCTTCTTTCATTTTTGATTTTATTATTGCAATACTGCGTCCCTTTTCAAATAAGATAGCGTAGGATTATGACTTTGTGGTCTCGATTAAAAGGGTTGCTGAATTAGTGCTCACTCCTCATTTAATCGATAAATGAATGAATTTTATTTGTTAGTATCAGTTAACCTCATCAAAATAATTTAGACTAGTAATGAGCTGCTCTGAAGTCCTTACATTTTTTAATGTTACGAAACAATTTTTACTTTTAAATTTTATTCGTTTCAAATTTAAAATTATGAATTATTATTTATTGCATCTCAATTAAAATTTCTAAATCAGCTTTCAATCGGCGTTGGAAAGTAAGTACGCAAAACATTTTCATTGAAAGTTCTAACCAGCAAAAAATGTAATTTTGTTGATTCAATTTTTAACAAAATTTCATATCATACACAATAAATTCCATTTGGAGAGCCTTATATTTTATATTTTAGAAGGTATAGGTATATCCATGCAGCATAGTTTAGAATACATAAAATATTGATATCGCAGCAAAAATTATTTTCAGATTTGCAAATATAACCCTTCATACAAATCAAATAGCACGAAAATTCATCTAAATATATTTTTTTTAAACACTGGAGTACTTTCGAATTGATTTCCGCGCAAATCAAGATGTTTTAATCGGTAAAATATTGAAATTTAGCCGCACAAAGGCAAAAAATCGAAATGTTTTGATTGATCAGCTGATTTGCACGTGAGTTAAATTTTTGGTTTTGAAGAGATCCGGTGATCGATGCTGGACAAAAATTTTACAGGTTTGTTGGAAAATACTTCTTAAATGTCTCTGCTAAAAAATTGAACTCACCACGGTCGAATTTCTTGCCATCTGGGTCGATGTCCTTCACATTAAAAATATCCTCGAACAAAATCCCCGCCATGTTGACGCGCAACTTTCAAATATTTCCAACTGATCGCGCGCTCCTAATTCCATGTTTCAAAGTAAAATTCAAAATAAAAATCTCTAGAAATTTTTAATAATGGAAATTAAGTCATAAATTTAATTTAAGTATAATATTTATAATTATTTAAATATATTTGTAGGTGATTTAGATAATTAAGTTTATCCTTTAAGATTTCTAGTATTTTGAAACAGTTTGTTCTTTGACACTTGCAGTAGGGTTGGGAGATCAAGCATGGCAGCCTTGCCACCTCGCAAAAATGCAACCCCAACAAAAATAATGAAAACTAACCTCTCCCCGTTGCAAATTCTTTTGCAAATGGGGTTTCCCAAAAATAGAGCGTGAGTGTTTATTCAATATTTTTTCTTAAACCGGTGTTGTCTGTCTTTTCTAAGGTTAATTTCTGAATTTAAAGTTCCGTTTACCCACCCTTGTTATGCATATGTGTATGTATCCATAACAATCAAAACAAACACAATAAAATACCCAAAATATTTTAGAAAAGAAAATTTGTAAACTTTTAGTTTCATTTCTTACAGCAATTTTGCTATGGTATTCACTTTATTTTTATTTCGTAAAATTTCAAATTTATTTAATTACGTGTGTATACCAACACTAAACTAATAATTTTTATAAATCAATTTTAGCGAAAAGGCTCTAGCAGCTACAGGCAATCGTGGTGTTCAGTTAGCCTCTGACTGGTTGCTGGCCCACGTGAATGATTCCCTGCTTGATGACATCAACCCCAGAGAGTACATCCTGTATCTGTGCCCAACTGGTCCACTCTTGGAAGAGCTCGAGGCTTTCTGGGAAAAATCGCTCCTCGAGTGTGGCTGGAACGGAGCCCACAATTTCATGCCACACATTACTCTAGTTTCGTTCTTTAAGGTTCAGCTTAATGATAATTGATGATAATTTATTTATTTTAAAGTTTTATTAAAGGTTCACGATGAAAGTGCGCCTGAGGTAGTTCAAATCCTCAGAGACTTGGTTGCTCAACATCCTATGCTCCAAATTGGCAATAAAATGAAGCTCGAGTCCTACACATCACAAAACTTCATGGGCTTTTTTGTTGCTGAGGAAGCAGCCAATAAGTTGAAGCGACTGGCTATGCAATTTGTCCAAGAAGTTTCCAGTACAGGTTAGTTGTGAATTTAATTAATTTATTAAACCTTCATTGTTATGCAACCTCTTCAGCTGTGTTTGTGGAGCCACACGTCAAGTCCCTTCACTTAACACTTGCATACCAATTTCAATCAACTCAATTTAACGGGCTTCAAGAGTTAGTAGAAGACCTGACGCCCACTTTGCCAGCCTGTTGGGAACTTCGACTCTATTCTAGAGACCCCAGAATTGCTGGTCACCAGGTATGATTGATTAAAACCAATTTTAGTTTAAGGAACAGCAAATTATTTTATTTCAAAGCAATGGCACTGAAATTTTTCTATTACAACTGTAGATAGAGCAACATTTTTTCTGTTTACAAAAATAATTCTTGTATGAACGTCTTCGAAAGAAAATTTCGCAAGATGATTCTGTAACAGAAAATTGAGATTTTATTAAAATTTATTTCATTGGAAGATAATGAGATTAACACGGTTATTTTTATTATTTGTACTTGACAGGTACACAAAGTTCTCTATTCACATATACCCAGAGAACCGGATGAATTGGAATTACGGATAGGTGACTACATTTACTTGAGTAGTGAAAATATAGCAACAACAACTGACGGTTGGGTCGAAGGTGTTTCTTGGCTGACAGGTAATATAATTGTTTGTATGTAACGCCTAATCTAAGTAAAAAAAAATCAGGTTGCAGTGGGTTCTTGCCATTGAACTACACGGAGAGAACAGCTGAATCGGATGCTTGGACGTTACACAGGTAAAAAATTGAACCTTTAGAATTTTGATTCCAGCATAGAGTGATTTGATTTTCAGGTCTATAGCATTGTACGACTCTAAGGAGTTGGTTGATTCTGAGATGGACATTTCTATGCCTAAAAGACTGAACCCTAAGAACAATGATACTTCGCTCAATGAATTAAACGAATTAGACAAGAGAATCGAAGCACTCAAACTAGAGAAAAATTTATATGAAAATGTAGACGTTAATGGCAAGCCAGCTGCAGTTGTAAGCTCATTCCCTTTTTTGCCGGTCACATTTTCAATAATCTTTTAAACAGAACAACAACACGGAGAATGGATGTCCATTGGATACAGGTCCCCGACAGATATATATTTCTAGACATGGGGAGAGAGTAGACTTCACATTTGGTACCTGGATTCCTTATTGCTTTGACGACGATGGTTTGCGAAATCTTAACACAAGAAACAGCCTTAAGCAGCAACTTCGTTTCAGGCTGCTACCTGAGGAAGGACTTGAATATGCCTCTGAGTGTTCCTAAAAGACAAGGTGGACCTCAAAGCTTTTCCAAAGACTGTCCTCTGACTAGAGTGGGCGAACTGCAAGCTGCATTAGTTGGTGAAGCCATGAAAGAGGCAAATGTTGAGATTCACCATGTCTTTTGCTCGCCTTCCCTCCGGTGTATTCAGACTTGCACAGGAATTCTAGATGGTTTGTTAGGTTAAAATAAATTAAGCAACACCTGATTAATAAACCCATTATTGCAGGACTAGGAAAAACATCTTTAAAAATCAACGTCGAACCTGGCCTATTTGAGTGGCTTGGTTGGTACCCCGAGACAATGCCCGAATGGCTTACCTACAAAGAACTGACGGAAGCAGGCTTCCGTATCAACCCAAACTACAAACCCATTGTTTCTTTTGAAGAGCTCTCAGAGAATAGAGAGAGTTGTGAGCAATTTTACATCAGAAGTTTCTACCTTACTCAAAATGTGATCAAGAACACAGCAGATATGGGTATTAACATTGATTTTGTTCGAGTAAAAGGAAACAATAAAAATCTTTCTATAGGTGGCAATGTGCTTCTTGTTGGCCATGCAGCAACTTTGGATACATGCACAAGACAAATCTTAGGAGGCTCCCCACTGACAAGTCAGGAAATGAGAGGACTAATACAGAAAATCCCATACTGTAGCACAGCTCTATTGGAGCAAGAGGACGACAACCAATGGCGACTGAAAGACACACCATTCCCCCCAGTCACACATTCAAGTAACATAAGATTTGACTGGCGAATAATGCAGAGCAAATAGTTAAAAAATGAAAACCCTGTTTTAAGGGCAACCAAATATAGATACCACAGAACCAAACCAAACAGAATGAATCGGGTAACGAAAGGCTAGCCTTTTAGATAATTGTAGCTTTTTTTCTCTTATGATGTTTCTGTTACTTAAAAAGTATTGCAGAGCTATACTTGAATTATTTTATTTATCCGCTTATATCGTAATTATTATATCAACTATTACATAATTGTTAAAATAAAAATAATAAAAATCAACTATTTAATGTTCAAAAAAATAGTATTTGTACCTTAAACAAATCCACCTTCCTTCAACTTTGCAACAAGCGAGTCAACATCGGGAAGGACAGAACCAGCTTGGCGGACAGGAGGGTCCTCGACGCTGACTACGTCATAGTGGGACTTGATTTCGACGCCCAAATCCTTTGGTGTCACTTTCTTCAGAGGCTTCTTTTTAGCTTTCTTTAGGTGAAATGATTATTTTTTGAGAGTAAAAATTTTATTAACAATTTCACCATAATATTTGGAAGAGTAGCATAGCGTGGCTCATTGAGACGCAAATCTGCGCTGATAACGGCAGGTGTCTTAACCTTCACAGTCTCTAGTCCACCATCAATTTCACGGACAATAGTCAAGCTGCCGTCACTTTGCTCAATCTAGTAAAATATTCCAATATCTATGTTTAAAAATGAAATAAAATAATTAATAATATACCTTTGAAGCAAAAGTTCCTTGAGGCCAATCTAAAAGAGCAGCCGTCATTTGAGCAGTTTGATTGCAATCATCATCGATGGCCTATAATGTGCAATTGTTATTACATAATAACTCTTTAAACATTTACCCATATTAATTTTTTTTTTCTTCAAAATCATTACCTGCTTTCCAACAATGACAAGGTCAGCCTTTTCATCCTGAGCAAGCTTGGCAAGAATCTTAGAGATATGAATAGGCTGAAGAGTCTCCAAATCTTTTCCCGTGACTTCGACATGAATAGCCTTATCAACTCCCATAGCAAGTGCCGTTCTCAAAGTTTCCTATTTTTAACAATGGAGATAGAAAATATGAAAGGTCAAACATGATTATGTACCTGGGACTGGGCTGGTCCACAGGACACTGCAATAATTTCGGCTGCCAACTTCTTCTCTTTCATGCGCACAGCCTCTTCGACAGCAATTTCATCGAAGGGATTCATCGAGTGCTTGACGCCCTCCGTGACTACACCTGACTTGTCAGGCTTGACCCTGATCTGAAATGTTTTAATTAGTTTGATTTTCAGTATAAGAGATGCAAACGTTTTTTAGGCAATTTAATTATTTTTTCCAGTATATAACAATTATGAGAGATTAACAAAAATAATAAGAATGACCCTTGCACTATGCGGCAAAATGATTAGAAAACAAAGGAGGACAGTGATTTGGGCTCATTCCTTTTTTAATTTAATACATATCGGGGCATGAATTTATTTAAGTTTTTATTACAGTCTAAAATGCATAAATTTAAAGTGTCTAAAGCCATTAGTAATTACCTTGACGGCATAATCGATGACTCTTTTCACACCGACCAAAACACGAGCCATTTTCGTTGCCTGAAAATTTAACAAGGATGAAGGATGCCAGCTGGAGTTGAGACGGCTGAATAGAAAGGAGGGGCCGGAGGGGCAGAAGTCATCGCTACCAACTTTATACTTTTTATATTTCACAAGGAAATATATAATTATATTATACCAGTTTGCATTTTTAAGTTTCATATTTTAATTTTACGGCATTCAATAAATAATAACAAAACTATTACGCTGACAAAACAATTTTTTTATTAATAAAAAAAATTGAAAAAAGACACACACTAAAATTTGAATTCTTTGTATTTTTTTGCTTGCTTGTTGTCTTGTCCCTGTTGTCTCCTTCTTTTGTTCTGAAAATATTTTAATTTTTTAAAAATACAAATTTAATACAAATAAACAAACAAATCACCTTTTGTCTTGCAACATGATCTACCACCATGTCTGAAAGATCCTCTTTCTGCAGCTGAGACTGTTGTTCTCTTAATGTCTGCTCGTATCTCAGGGCCATTGCATCTGTGTCCAGGTCCAACTCGGAAGGATCAAGCGCCAACTCAACCATTCCTTCTCCAGTGGCGCCTCTGCGAGATGTGAGAGGTGGACCTCCTTGCGAGACTGCGCTGCCTACGTCGTACACATGAGTTGAGGCCATCATTGATGCACCAAGTCTGTCCACTCGCTTTTCTTGTAAAACGGTGTACAAAGATGGACCTTCGCCACTGGAAGTAAATATAAAGTCAATAAATTGCATGAAAAAGATATCTAGAAATTATTTACCTCTCCATTTCACTTTCAATCTTCTTCTTTCGCAGCTCAATAATTTCAGGTGTTTCGAGGCCTGCAGGTACAGACGAAAGACCTGAAGGAGTAATGAGGCCTTCGGCAGGTGTGACAAGCCCCGTCTCGTCAACTGCTACACCCTCTACGCCCACACCCTCCTCTCCCTCTCCTTCTTCTTCCTCTTCTTCACTTTCACTTTCTGACTCTGACTCCAGCTCTCCCCACAAAGTGTGATCAACTTCTTCCTCAGCAGCAGCATGCTATAAGAATAAAAATACATTAATTTTAATCTCAATTTTAGGACGAAAAACCTACAGCGTAATCAGATGACTGAGTTCCAAAGACATCTCCATAGAGAGGTCTTCCAGTTTCATCCACAGGGGGTTTGCCCCAACCTCCAGCATGGTAACCAAAAGCACATCCATCAGGAATAGGTGCGTTCAGGCCAGGGATTTTTAAACTAGGATACGAAGGTGGAGGTCCGTAACGTTGCATGGCAATCAACCATGGCGGAGGTACTTTGTGCGCATTGTGGCCAACTGGCATTCCGAGGGCAGTACGCAAATCTTCAGACAAATCTCCAGGTTTCTTTTCCTTTAGCCTCGTCTCAAATTCTTTGCCCTCATAGTAGAGATCGCCATGTATGGACATGCGTGGTTTAGTTTGCCATCTACATTTATACAAATCTTGTATTAATAGGTTAATAAAAAATGTGAATGTGTTACTTGAAGAAGGCGTCGTGGAGCTTCTGATAATCAATATCGATTTTTCCCATCTTCGGTCGAACACGTTCTCTCATCTTGGCCTTAAGCGTTTTCGAGTCTTCCTTTTCTTGCAGCGCCTCTCTCATCTCCATGATGCCAGTTTTTTTGATGAAATCTGGAAGTCGGAATGGCGGCTTCTCGATACCCCTCTTGCCTTGCAAATACTAAAAGAGCACAAATATCAATTAATAAAACTTTCATTTGAATAAAATAATTCCACCAGACCTTCCTTTTGAAACACCAGTGCCTTGGAACTGGCACTGTGTTTCGATGGGCCTTCAGCTGCACTAGCAGCTTTGGGTCTCTAGCAGTTACGTCATGCATCTCTACGACGTCAGGCCTTGTCACGAGTTGCTTCAGCTCCGCAACGCTCAACCTGGTGAGCTGCTTCATTTTCCTCTTAGAGAGCTTTGATTGCCCACTCTCATTATTTCTCTAAAAAAATTTTTATTATTATTAATTGACATATAAGTAAAACATTCTTAAAAACCTCCAGCTCTTCCATTTCATCATCCTCAACAGGTTTTGGGACTTTTTTCAGAACAGGTTGAGCAACGGCAGGAATAATCTCCTCAGAGCCTTTGCCAGAAATTCGGAATGTCTCAAAAATTGATGCAAACTGCCGATACATGGGGTCCAATTCATTGATTTTCAGAGTTTCTTGGATGTACCTAAAACAAAATAATAATTTTGGTATACTTAAAATATATTTCAGGTTATCTTACTCGACTTCAACATCAACATCATCTTTTCCATTCTCCTTCTTTTCCTTCTCTTTATTTTCACCCTCGGCAGGCGCTTTATTTTCTTCTTCAGCTTTCTGCTGCTTCCTTTTCTTTTTCTTCTTCTTGTTCTTATTTTTCAGCCGTTGCTTCTCTCGAGCTGCATTGTACTCTGCATTGCCATTTTCATCTTCAGCGCCCTCGTCATCCAGGTCAGCGTTGAGTTCGTCTTCGGGAACGTCTCCATCGCCGCGGCCTAGAACTCTGGCCCTCTCGTTCTTAAAGGCAAAAGCCATCTCCAGGGCTTGAGGAAGTTTTATCTGCTCTTGGTCCTCTGCGCCCTCTGGACCGCCAGGGGGTGGTGCAACCCTGAGGGACATGAGCGGCTGCAAATGCTGCCCCCCGTCATCACCTCCATCCTAAACATAAGCCAACATTTATTAGATCCTGTTCACTAAAATCTGTTTTAAAAATCAATATCAATTTACCGGTACAAAGAAAATCAAAAGTGGGTTTATGAAATAATTCATATTTTTAATTGATTGCTATATTTTATAGAAAAAATTATTTTTAGAAAAATTACTGCAGATTTATGTACAATGCCGGCAGGATTCATGGAGTTCATGCTCTTTGTATTTTTGTGGTTATTATGCTTTGATTGAAGCTTCTTCTGTCAAACATGCGAGGATAAATAAACAAACCTCAATATTGGGGTCCATTTCCAGGAGCTGAGCCAGTACTCGTTGAGAAAATTGGATAACTTTTGGGGAATTTATTTTATTTGTTGCGGTGCCTCAAAGTCAAAGCTTGTTTACCAAAATTTCAAAATCCAACATGGCACGACATTGAAACCGGTTCCCTCTCGTGGCAAAAGATGTGACCACAATTAAGGCATGCACGCGGCAAACAGCGCCAAATGTGTATTGCGGCGGCAATTTTAAACTGAACGAGAATCGAGAATTCGAGAAATGAAAACAAACATTTGATTCAGTTTTATTAATGTTTAACCATTGTCAATTAATATCGCGTATAGCACAATTGCACAATAGGTCAACACTGGCTGGACAGTAGTTATATTTTTATCAAAAAAGGTAATTACATTAATTCAATTCAAAATTAAAAAAAATATTATAAAAACAAAATGAATGCACCTCAACTTCGTAATGTTAATATTATTTCTTATTTTGTAGTGTGGAAGAGGGATCAAGAGAAGAGAGATCACAAAATAATGTGGCAACATCAAAAAGGCGCTTCAGTTGTATTTATAAAATTGATGTAAAATTTTCGTAGATATTGTAATTTATTCTCTTTACAGCTCATTATTGGTCCGACCCAAATGGAGGAAACCGTGAATTCCGATTCAGACGACAGCAGCCTTGGCAGCATGGATGACGATGATGCGTATGCAGATTTTGTCAAGACCACAGTTTCTTTACACCCGAAAAATTGCTGTGACAACAAGCCGAGGGATGTTGAACGCATGAAGAGATTTCTAGCCAAGGACAGTTTGTCACTCGACCGACGAGACTCGGCTTGGGAGCTCACTCCGTTGCAATGGGCTGTTCAGCTGGGTCATTATCGTTGTGTCGAGTTCTTGCTGGATGCAGGAGCCGATTATACTCTACCTGCAGACAATAACACGGACTTGCTTGAAATCGCCCTACGGGAGGAACACAACTACAACGTAGTCAAGATCTTGCTGGACTTTGGAATAAGCGCTAACTATGAGCCTCCGAAGGGCTGCCCTGTCCGATACAACAAGTCGTATTATGTGACATGTGCTCTTCGACATGGCATTCTACCAGCTCAAATTTTGTTGGACTATGGCGCAGTGGTAAACGACTTTGATGGTTACGACATAAACTTCTACAATTTTACCCATTTCGTCGCTGCCTCTAGTGCGGTAATAGAAGCAAAGGCGGACGTCCTGAAGTTTTTGCTTCTGAATGGCGCCCCTGTTGATGCCAAAAGCGCCCGTTTGACCAAGCCTTCTAGTTCAAATCCTGTAGTGAAAGACTGTCTCTCGTTGATACATCTTTTCATTTGCTGTGATGGAGAACGAGGTTTCGAAGAGGAGAAAAAAATTGCTGATCTTCTGCATCAGTTCGGAGCAAATTTCTGGGAGAAAAACAGACTTGGCTTGACGCCCCTTCAAGTTCGAAGTAATCGAATTGTGTGGAACAAGGAGCGCCGCTTACGAGATATTGGATGGCTTTCTCAACGACCACGAGAAGACATCTTCTTCCGGATAACCGAGTACCTGCGACACCTAATGTCAGCTCCTCTGTCGCTCACTAGTTTGTGCCGACTCACTTTGGTTCGGAGCATGGGCCAAAATTACTTTAAAAATCTGCATTTGCTTCCCAAACTGCCCAGAAGGGTGATTGCGTTTCTGAGAGGCTGGGAACTTTTAGACCGGCCTGTGTACGGCGACTTTAGTTTGTAATTATTGGTCATACATTTCCCATTAAACGCAAAGAAAAATAGATGAGTATTTATGTGGCCCGAAAAGTCATTTTTTTTTTTTAAATTCTCAACTGATTAAAACTTTTTTTAATAATTTTGATCTTTTATTAAATATTACTCCAATTTTGATTTTGAATTAAAAGTTTTTCTTCATAGAGGGTGAGGTTGGAGTTACCACTGCCGGCGTTGACGGCTCTTGAGGCTCTTCAAAGCCTTGAGGCACATAGTATGTCCTTGTGGCCGGCTTGTAAATTGGGTTCATACCACTCAAATTAGACTTTTGTGTAGCTTCCACAAATTTTAAATAGTCGTATCTGTCTTTCGCTGCCACTATTGAGCGCCAAACAAGCAGAATAAACAGGCCAATCAGGAAAACTGCAACCACAATGATCCCCAAAGCAATAGCGGCTGCATTCGGTTTTGGCGTACATGCCTATTAAAAAAAGTAAAAGTATAATTATTTTGAAAAGTTTAAAATTTACTTACTTTTGAATCAAGTACTTTCAGTCTGACTTTCCTATTTTTGTCCAAGTGATAGCTGAATTGGAAAATGCAGCCATTTTCATCCTCAAATTTGCAAAGTTCCTCCTCTAAGTCCTCAGACACTGGAAATTTCATAATTTTTTTTTTATAGTATTTAATTTATTTAATTTAGACCAACTTACATTTTAAAATCCTCACAATGTCCAAGTACGAGGAACTGGAATTTGTGAAACACGGGTTTACAGTCTCATCCTCCGGACATTCTTCTCCAAAAACCTTGCAGTGGACACAAGGTCTGTACAAGGAGCACAGACCCTTGCAAGTGTCGCATTTTTCACAAAATAACCCCGTTCGCCTATAAAAAGAACTTTAATAATATTTAGTTAATACATTGATCAATTACCTGGAGCCATCAACAATATTGCAAACGCATTTGCCGCACTCGCACTTGCCCTCACCGTTGCAGGGCTTGGTGTCTCCGGGCGCGATGCAAGTCTCCTGCGCAGAGGAACACGAGCAGGTCCGACCTTCCCATCCAGGGTCGCACTGACAGCGGCTGCAGACGCACCTTCCGTGGGGACCACAGTCGCCGCAGAGCGTGTCGTCGCACTCACAGTAGCGACCATAGGCGGCCCCGTTGCACTCGCACTGCCCACACAGGCAGTCGCCTCGACCCCAGCAAAGGTCAACGCCCTGAAGGGCATCGTCGGCGGACAGGCAGCCAGCGTCCAGTTCGGCGATGGACGTGGCGTTTCGTTCCGAGCAGCTGCACGAAGGGCCGTACCTACAATTTGAGGTATATTTAAAATCTATACTATTTTTTTTAATTCACAAATATTTTTTAAATTTAGAAAGAAAAAAATTTCGATTAAAAAACAATCAAATTAAATAATAATTAATTCTTGAATAAATTACCATCCATCGTGACATGCACAAGTCCCGCAGTTCAAGTCGCCGTGCCCACCACAAGTCAAACTATTCTTTTCCTGCTCACAATCGCAGCCGCACAGAAGCTCCACGTTTACTTCCAATCCAGACACTAAACCTCTTTCTTCAATTTTCACTTTTTGCTTCTGTGAATATAAATTTTCCGTTAATAATTTAATAATTTTTATTTCACATTTTATTTACCCAATCCTGAGGATCGCTGGGACACTTTTCTAAATTGAAAGTTAAATAGAATTTGTATTCCATGCCTTCCTCCACGTGTTCACATGACTTGGTGCTCAAAATTTGTCCATCGGCCGAATTGCACGTCGATTCGTATTCAATTTTAAGAAAATCTTTAGCATTGTCCGAAAAACTAACTGACGAAACAATATCCTAAAATTAATAACATTGTAAGTATATTTTCTCGATTTGTTATTTATTTTTTTTTTTTTTTTTTTTGCTAATTAACTAACTTTAAAGCCCTGGCGAACCAATTGGATAATATTAGACGAATCCTCTTCCAGAGTAGCCACGTAATTTGCACCAAGGAGGACTTCGTTTAATCTAATGTAGTGCTCCAGTCTATCTTTTGTCACAGCAAAAATTACGCTCACCTGAAGAAAATTAGTATTAGAGAAACTTCCTGAAATTATTTAAAAAAAAAATAATAATAATATAACAATTATTTCAGAAAGAGAGAGTATATTGCGTTCATTTGGATCACAACGGCGAACGTTTTTTTCATCACGTTTTTTATTTTTAATTAATTTGCCTGAATTTTAAAAAGCAGCTACTACTTTATTTTTTAGCAGCAAGGAATCAATTTGTCCAAGAGAAGGGTAATCAAGTTCATTTGATTTCAAGTACAGTCCAGTTTTGGGGTCCAAGTGACAGGCCACGTCATTATTGCGAACGGCGCCAGCTAACTGATAAAATGGGTTAAAATAAAAAGATTAAAAAAAATCTAAAAAAAAGTACTTTTCCGTCTCCTGCGAAATGCAAAATACCGTCTGAAGCCAAAATCACGATTTTTCTGGAGTCGGTCGCCCAGCCAATGTCGTTTTTGCACGCCAAAACCTGCATAAGCGCATCCAGGCCACCTTCCGCGTTGTCCAGGTTTCCGGACACCGTCGCATTCCGTACCCTGTCGGTGAATTTTTTCGTATCCTTTGACAGGGTCAGGTGGTGATGGAAACCATAAGCGGGACTGCAAGTAACCCGCTCGGCGCTGCACGGATTTTCCATGCGCGCGGGGTTGACAAAAGGCATCAGAGGTTTGTCCACAAACGAACCGAAACCGAGACGGAAATTGCGTGTCATATTTTTCATTGCGTTTGCCAAATCACCGCCTTTTACATCCAAGTTAAAAAAATTACTAATTTAAAAAAAAATATTAATATTTACCAAGCCCAGCTAGCGTTTCTTTATCGTCGCTCATACTGTAAGTTAAGTCCATAAGGTAATAAACGTCAAGGGGATAATTTCTGGCAGCCCTAAAGCTCAACGGAATTGTTACAGCGTCTCCTAAAATTTAAAGAAAAATTTTAAACACAGAATAAATTGTGAATTTTCAATTTTAATTTTTTTATTTTTATAATTCTGCACAACAATTCCCACCCTTGTGCAAAAATTTTGTGTGGCAGCAGCAATTTTAGTGACTTATTATCGTTATAATTATTTTTCTTTGTGATTGAGTGATCTCTGCGCAGACCTCTCTTTGGGGCTTGGCGTTTTAGCGACTTGTTTGCCAGAGGTGCTGCCGTTACTTGACATTTATTTTGTTAAATTCATATATGTCTTAATTTGTTAAGAATAAAATTAATAAATTGATTAAAAAATTTGAAAAATTTACCTGCTCTGATTTGCAAGTCGGCCATTTGAGGCCGGACTTGCACTGCTTTAATTTGGTCTCTCAAATCGTTGTTCAGGTAATCGCTGAATTTCGCATCGCTTTTAACCTGGTAACCAGATTTTCCTCGGTAGTAAATCTCCTCAGTCGGGCAGCCATGCTGCTTCAAAACTTCTACGCGGTCACATCTTGGTTCTTTGAAGTCCTGAAAGCGATTCAATAAAACTTTAGAACTACGTGGCGATTTATATAAAGCGTCATGTGCACGTGTGCACTACATATTTCCCCCAAATGTGTATCTTCGTTTCCAACCAAAAGAGAGACGATGGCAAATATTAAAGATAAGAGCTACGAGTGTTTATTAAGGTGCGGTGAGCGGGACGCAAACCTAATATTTACTGAAACGACCCTTCGAAACTTTTTCGTCAGATAAAAGTGATAAAACTGCATTATTTTTCAAGTTAAAAGTGCTTCAAAACTCTTTGATTTAATTCAAGAGTGAAATTACATTTAATTTTGGCATGTAATTAATTTCAAGTAAAAATAAATAGTGATTACTTTTCCCTACCAATTGTTTGCACCACGAGCAATGGGGTCCTCCGCTAATGCATGAAGAGCAACTGGTCTCACCGATACAGCGGTCATCCGATTCTTCAACAGCAGTTTGGGCAACTTCTACACAATTTTATGTTAAAATGATAAATTGGAAAGAAATTTCGTTTAAAACTTCTTTGCCGATTATATCTTATCGATTACAAGCACAAAAGAGCAAATAAAAATTAGTCTCACCTTGAGATAAAACTCCACTTATGCTAAATATCACCAACGCAATTCGAAAGAAATGGAATTTTCTCACAAGACGCATGTTTTAGCTTGGTATAAAATTCACATTTTTTAGATCTACACAAGAATTGAATCTCGATGATGTGAGGCGAGACGTCAAATTCAATGTGAGATTTTTGTTTGACTCAGGAACAGGATCGATGCACCTCTTTATTATCTCGCTGGATTACGACCGCGCCTCGTTTGCGTTGAGTGATAACAGTTTGGCGCGTTTGACGGACGGAAAGAGAGCACTGTAACTAATAATTAAATTTATTTTGTTCGTAGAAAAATTAAATAATCCTTAAAATTGAAAATTTTAATTTTTATTCAAATATCCAAAATATTATGCTTTCATTTTTAAATTATTTACAAAAAAGCCGCATCTAAAATTAATTTTCCTTTGTTTAGTATCGTTAAATTAGGTATAAACAATTTTTTATTATTTTAAGACTTCACAGGATAATGGTTTGTAAAATAATTATATATTAAGCAAATCAAACAGTGGTATTAACCGCTATAAACCTCAATTCAGCTCTATTATCAAGTAATATCAGTCCTAGTGGAGTTTTGCACAACTACAGGGAGCATTATTAGTTCCTCAAACAGTCACAGGGAGGAGGGCGTCTCAAGCGTTAAGTTTGTTTTGGTCGAGGTACGATGGCTTCTGTAGACGGTAAGATTTTTCTCTTTTATCCCTCGAATTTCCCTGTTTTCACAACGAAACGCAAAACAAATTGATAAAGTACGAATACATTTGTTTGATTAGCACATGGAAGATTTGTAAATTACCCCCAGTGTTCTTTATAATTGAAATGAAAAAGTTAGTACCCGCGGTCTGATGATTGTCATCGAAGTCGTTATGAATTCATTATTTATATTTTTACCTTAATTGTATGAAATCTTCGTACACGCAATGCATTATATAACGCTTTTCTTAATTTGATTCTCTCTGAACTGAATTTTTCTTCGCAGTTTCTAGTTCATTTAAAAATTATTTTGGTGTTCCTTAGGTGTTGCTCCCGAAAAACAACCTGAGGAGTCTTCGGATGCCGCCCTTTCATCAGACAACAATGGAGGGCAAGATGAGTCCGTGCCGGACTTGGTTCGTTATTAATTAAATTATATTTGTTTTGGAAGAATTCATAACTTTTTTTTATTTTCAGTTGGCAAAAGCTCCTGATTTGGCAGCTGCGATGGACGAAACAAGCGGGGAACCTCCGAGGAAGAAGCCTGGTGTAGATTTGCAGTCTTTGCCAACCAGACAGTACCTTGACCAGACAGTTGTGCCTATTTTACTGCAGGCACTCTCAACCCTTGCCAAAGAGAGGTAGGCAATTTTTGTTTCAGCTATTTTTAACAAATTACATAGTTACAATAATTATTAGCCTCAAAGTAGAATGTAATTTTCTTTGTGGCTAATTTTTGAGATTGGAGTGAGTGCTAAAAATATTTATTTTTCCAGGCCGCCAGATCCAATCACTTACCTGGCCAATTACCTTGTAAAAAATAAGGCAACTTTTGATCCCAGTAACCAGCTGTGAAGCTTTTTAATTGGCAACTTTTATTTAACACAACATGCATTTTCTTTTAATTCACAAAGAGTCTTACACCATTTTATGGCATCTTTCTAATGTACCATTTTTCTTAAAATTTGAATTGCACTCTATTTGTTAAACATAAATCGCATGATATTAAATTCGTATTACTTTCCAAAACGCCACATAACAATGCATTGAATATTTTTGTATGGAAAAAAGGACGTGGAACTAAAATTTGTCTGTTAACTTATCAACATGTTCAAGTGTTGTCTGGCCATGGTAGTTGTTAATATTTGGGTTTATGTACCATGGAAAATACAAATTTTGCAATGATTAACTAGCGAATTGGTTTTATTTATTAATTAAGCCCATTGTTATTGTTCTTCTCATATTTTTATTAAAAAACAACATTGTTTCTCGTTTTTATACACAAAATGTTGAAAATCCTTTAATTGTAATTTTACTTGTACATGCAAGTGGATAGAGGATTGTTCTTTTTTTTTTAACTCGGCTCCTTTTTCGGAACCACAGTTTATAAGATGGGGGAATGGTCAATCAACGCAGCAAAAAGAAATCCTTGGAAAGGGGTGTCTGAAATCCTCCACAAGTGGGATGTTGAAAATTCATTTAGATGAACAGTGATGATGTAACATTGAGGTTTCTTTGGGGTTACAAAAATTGCCTCATATTTCCCTAACATTCAGATATAAAGATTTTTTGTTTTTCACTTTCATGGGAAGTTATTTTCAATCAGTAAATGCTCCCCGCATTCTGTCCTTCCTTGATCCTCAATCAATTCTAAATATCCGATTCATAAATTAGTCGGTTCAACTTTTCGAGTTAAACCTCCACTATTAGCAACAAGAATTATAGATAGTACCACTTCTTGGATCAACAATGGCACAGCCAGTCTTAAAAATTGAGATCATAAAATTGCAGGAAATAAAAAAATGCCATGCTGCTTTTCTGTATCAGATTGTTTGACTCTCATTTTTTCAGTTGCGTCTTGAGAGGAACAAAGACCAGAATGCAACAGTGACAGATAAACTTTGAGAATGGTTTAAAAATTAACAAATTGGAATTAAATGTTACAAAAATGATCTTCATAAATGATTTTGCTTCACGCACAAATAGTCAACAACAAAAGACAGTAAATAATTTTGGCCAAACAAATGAGCTTTCCAGGGGCAAGCAAAGTGTCCAAATTCTGGCCCAGGCAGAGCCCAATTGTCCATTCACTTCGGCACCCCAATGGGCTATTGAGCAGTTTATTGAGAGCATCGACGGCAATGTTTCTTCCAATTTCACACAGTGCTCTCTCGTTTGGTCACCAAGGGCGCCTCACTCAGGTCGTCCTCGAACTGGCTCGGCACCGCCGCCAACTCAGCTTTCGACAGCTGCGGAACCACCGGAGGCGGTGCATACCTGGACCCGTACTGCACCATCGGAGGACCCAATTGCACTGAAGGGCCAGGGGGACCACCCCATGGACTGTGATGAGGCCGTGGCAGTGTGCACTGCGAGTACCCTGTTTGCTGAATCTCCACTATTGGATTCTGCAAAAATATGAAAAGAAATTTGAAAAAAAATTTTAGAACAAAGTTTTAAAAAGGTGTTCGTGGCAAGATTTTAGACGAGGTCGGGCTCGTTTTCGTTATTGTACCATAAAATAAGTTTCATTTAGATGTGGAGAGCGTCTTACAAGGTCTCTTAGTCCCAGTCCTCCATTCCTAAGGGTGCAGTACCCTGCAAACTGGCCTGGAGGAGGTATGTGCGAGCTCCTGCCGTGAGGTGGCGTCGTGTCTATCGTGGATACTAACTGTCGATGTCTCAAAAAGGCAACCTCATCTGGATCGACTGAAAAAATCATTGTTTAAAAATCAATTGAATCAATATTTATTTTCTCTCACTGCAGGGCTGTGGAATAATGTCGGGGTCTTTTTCATCCCCTCCGTCCGGAGGAGATCCATCGCACACGGCTCCCATGGCGGCGAGGGGCTCCAGTTTGAGTGTGGTGGGTGTGCTGGAGCCAGTTTTCTCCAGAAGGCCCAGACCGATGCTGCAAGAGCCGCCGTCAACTCCTCCCTGCTGTCCAGCTCGGTTCTTTGGTCGATCTCTTGATGGACACTGGGAACGGAGTACGGCGCAGGCAACAAGGGCCACTACCAAAAGTGCGGCGGCCACACCAACAAGGACACTCATTGTTGGTGTCAGCTTCATGCCTGAGCGGGGCCGATCTATATAAAATTAAGTAAGAATATTAAAAAAAGTGAATTTATTAAATAATAAATTTTATTGTCAGTTTGATTTTTTTTTTAATATTATATCGATCCTTTTTTCACAGAAGAAAAGAAAGAATAATATATTTATTGTTAAATTAATACCAGAGTCTGAAGTGGTAAGCTGCTTTTCCGGGAGGCGTTGGGTGTTGGCGTGCAAAACGACCGGCTCACTCCTGCCCTTGGCATTGACTGAGTAGACCATGGCGCGGTAACTGGTGCCCGGCTTGAGTCCGCCCAGCATGAATTTGGGAGCGTTTGGCGCGGTAGCATTTCCCGTCAGCTCATGACTCGTGGTTTCCCTGACTTCCAGCATGAAAGACTGGGGTAGGCCGCCGTTGAATCCCTCAGTGCACGAGACAGAAAACGAGTGGGTTGATGAATTCAGAACTGAGCAGTTGTGAACTTGGTCAGGACGACCTGTAGATGAAAAAATTCATTTTTAAACCAATTATGATTTTTTTTTGCATAAAAATTGAAATAAGTTTTTAATACGGATCAAAACTATTCCTTACCAGCTGCAATGATATGGAAGACGCAGGGCAACCTTTGGCTGCCCACTTTGTTGGAAGCCCAGCACAGGAGGGACCCATAGTCAAGCTCTGTCATGGGGGTGTAGCTGAGCCAGCTCTGGGTGCCACTGTAGGTCACTAGGGCCGAGGCGACGTCTACACTGTCAGCTGAATTGTTGAAGGTCCATTTGAACTTGAGGTCTGGTGGGTTTGCGTCCACATTGCACTGAATCCGTGCCCGCTCCTGTTTGGCTACTCCGTGCACGCGAGGTTGCGTTGGGCGACATGTCGGAGCGTCTGGTAATTTTAAATTAATTTAAGAATACTTGCATATATATCAATTCAAATTTGAAGTACAGATCGATACAAAGTTTCTAGGATAAAATCTGGTTATGCCACATGCAGCACGAGAATGCGCAGCAGGTTGCATACCTTATTTGGCTTTAAATTTGGAAACTTGTCTCTAATTTAGGATAATTGAGTTTCACTAACAAAAACTTTACATAGTTTCAATAAATTTCAGTTAATTTTCGCATAAATGAATCCTTTTATTGCTGAAGACACCAAGTGTCTGTTGGGAATCAATTTGGCAGAGTGCTCTGCTCTCTTTTACGAGGTGGTTCATGGAAATAAGCCACACTCCACACACGAGTAAGCAAGCGATGTTTGGCCATAATCACTTTACGCTCAGCCACTTACACAGGACGTCAAGGAAAAATGCGTCGCTCTCGCCATCGCCCTCGGTGTTAAAACCGACGCACGAGTAATTTCCTGCAGAATTTCGCCCAACTCTTTGGAGGACCAAACTTTGATTGCTGACAATTACACCGGCTGCTGTGTTGTGATTTAGAGGCTTCCCCTGAAACACGGAAAACAACTGGAGTGAGGATTGGATGCTGCGAAAAGAAGCAGGCATTGGGTCAGAAGAAATAAAAACAACTAAATTGCTCTGGGCCCACGTCCTAACTCATTTCAGCACTCTCGCTGCTAAATACAATTTTAGCAGCAACGAAGTCTACGGGGAATGGCTTGTCAAAAGGCGCCTTAATCAATACTTCCTCAAGAAACAAAAAACATCGCTGCTGATACTTTTTTATTTATTGGCTGTGAAAAAAAGAACCAAAAATTCTCTCTAATAAATATAATAATTTAGCTTCATAACTCAAGGAGGGCTCACTGCTAAAAACGGAACAATTTTGTTCAATATTAAATTGTAAAATCTGATAAAAAAAATTATAAATTATGAGAAAAGGGGAGTTTGCATGCTCTTTTTAGGTCAAATGAAGCCACGTAGAGGATTAATTAATTGACTCCCGAACAAAAATGGTCTGATTAGACTAATTATCAGTCCGATCTTTTGAATATAAATTTTATTTTTTAGACAAATCAAAAATAATATATTTTTATTAATATTTTAATTTGAAAGAATCGTAAATCTGCGTGCGCCGCAAGGAGAGTACAAATCCTTGGGCTGCTGATTCTGCTGACGGAAATAATAATTGGCTCTCGACCCCTAAGTATTGAATTGCAGCGTAATCAGCAGAAATAAAATGCACCCCCTCCGCGTTTGGTGCGGCGCGCACACAAGCGATTATTCGCTATCTGCTTATGAGGCAAATCTGCCCGCCGGCTTAATAAATGAACTTACATTGTGTCTCCACTCGACTTTGTAGGCCGCCGGCCGTGCGTTCACGCGGCAGTCAAAGTAGACGTCCGTCCCCTCGCGGATGTTGTCCGGGCTGAGTGAGGTTCCAAGGTGGATTGTCGCCTCCGGGATGTCTGCAACAAGCGAATGCGTCTTTTGTTAGAAAACTACCAACTTTGAGCGTCAAACTTTGCAACGAAGTAGCATCAAAAGATTTTGAAACTCATGATTTTGGTGCTTAGAATTTCCCTACGATTCCGTTTGAATTACCTTTGTGCTACAAAAGACAAGTTCAAACAGCGGAATGGATTTTTTGTTGACAATAAATGTCTAAAATAATGAAGGGGTTGTATTTATTTGCTAATTTTTTTACATGGTGTGCTGCAGACTGGAAAATTAGTACATCGCTGTTTTGAGAGACACGCAGAATCACTCGCGCGAACAAATTTTTAGCAGAAGCCCCAAAATCATTATTCACGTCCTGCTCCTCGTCAGCGGGAAACGAGGCGTATGAATAATATTGAAATCACTACATATTCGGTCAGCTCGTATTTCTCTCCCTCTCTCGTTTGCAGTGCTTGCGATAAAAACATTTACAGCGCAAAACGACGAAAATCCGGTGGGAGTTTTTTTTTTAGAATTTTTTATTTTTCCTGTCGCTCTTCTACCGGCCGAGTGTCCATTAATTTAAATCAATTTCACTGATAATTCTTCGCCAGGCAAATTCGAAACAATAAACAGGCCGGGTGAAAAATCGGCCTGACGCACCCCTTCGGCTGTCCACGCGGCACGGTTTGATAAATTGAGAGCGCGGAAAAATAAATAATTCTGCCAATATCGAGGACGTCGAGTCGAGTGCGCACAATTAGGTTGCGAGAACGGCTCATCTCATTAATTTCCCATGCGCCACCACCTGGCGGCGGCTGCGCTGCTTTAGCAACGCGAGTTTCTCCGTTTGTCGGCAAAAAGGCCGCGCGCTCGCTACATAATAAATGTGCTTCTCGTTCGTTCAGCGGCAGCAAAAAATAATCACCCTCCGCGCCCAAATTTTGCTGTTCAAGCGGCTTCGCGCTCAAAAACTCATCAGAGCTCGGGAATTCGCAGCTCGCCTCGCGCCTTCATTTATCTTTTTGAATCCTTCGCTCTTGGGAATAACCGATCAATTTTTTTTTTCATATTTTTTCACTGGAAAAAAAACATGTTGGCGTTGAGGAAAAATCTTATTGCACGTTTGAAAATAAAGTAAGGTTTCTTATGGTTTGGGGTAAAATTTATGAATAATTTATGAAAAATTATAACTATAAAAATAGTCTCTATGCGAAGACAAAAAAACAAACAAGATTGACTTTTTTCTGGCCTATGTTCTGAATAATCTTACTTTTCTCAACCCACTCAACCCAAAACTTGAAAGGTGCAACTTGATGACTTATTGGACCAAATTATTTATATTTTCATCACTTTTTTTAAGAATTTGTTCACAAATTATCTACATTTTATTTTTTAAATTTAATTAAAATTAATTCTTATTAAAACATAGCTAGTAGGATTCATTTTGTTTTTTAACAAACACAAAATTGAAAACTTTTCCAATAAAAAACAATTCAATTTACATGTATAAACTGAAAAATTCCCTTGTCTCGTAGAAAAGAAGTCGCTGCTATGCTTTTGAAACGTTATAATATATTTACGTGTCTGAATTTATTGAACACGATTTGCGCTACTCTCCATGACAACATCAGCTCGGAAAAAAAGAGGACGACAGTACAATTTAGGCAGCACGTAAAGTTTTACGACAAAATGTGAATAAAAACAAAAGCAGGTGCGACGAGGGCACGCACAAAAGATTTATTTAAGACGGCGCCGATTTTTCTCACCTGCCAAGGGGGAACGGCCGAAAAAATTTATGCTTTGTCAAAACAGTTTTAAGGCACAGTTAGATCATCCCATTTGGCGCATCAAAAATGGATGCGACTCCGGCTGATATACGCGTGCCGGCGAGTGATTGTAAAAAAGCAACGCGCCATCAACAATTCATGGCAGAATCGATTGCAGATGCTCAACACTTTGCGGCCATGGAGGAAAAACACACTTGGCGTAAATCCACGTGCCATTAAGAATTTAGCGGGCACGCGGAAAACTAGGGTAGATATATATATAGAGTGGGAGCGGGGAAAGCGAGAGAAAGAGCGGAAAAAGGAGTATCGAGAAAAGTCAATTATATGCCAACGAGGATTTATCTCGGCAATAATGGAATTTCTCTCGGTACCCACTTGTTATTGCTATTGGCATCATTTCATTTCACTGGCCCACTTTTTCATCCGTGTGTGTCTTTTTGTGACCTCGACAAGCACAACTCGCCCGGATTTGTGAAAAGAAAAGTACTGATTTATGGTAAAAGAGAATTCGATTAATTAAATTTTAGATATTATAAAAGATTTTTGCGATTTGAAAGGAGTGAAAAATTTAAATACGTCATTTTATGATAATTATTTAGCTGCAAGAGGAAAAAAGAATTTTTATCATATTCAAAGTGTAAAATTTTATTTATATTTATAAGGTTTTTTAAACCATGCACATTGCATAATATAAATATCCATGGATCATATTTATTTTATGTATGAAACCAAAATGTCAGAATTTTAAGCAAATTTACGTTTCACTGGATTAATTTGGTCTTACATTTCCCTTTCCTTGTCAGTCAAAGGAAGCTTCTCAAATTTGCTTTTGGCATATTTCCTTCATAAATAATATTTGTGCATGTATTAGAGCGCAAAAAGCTTCAGGGGGCGCGTCCCATTCTCCCACCCTCAGATAACTAATAAGCGCGCTGCGCCAACTTTTATTACACAACAAGCCCGGTGCGCGCTGAAGGTAAAATAATTTTCCATCCATTACAATATCAGGCATTTCCCGTGTAAAATAAGACCTTAGTTTGCTCGACGGTGGGTGGGCAATAGACGAGTTTCGCTGCCACAGCCGCTATGCTTATACACCATAAAGTCTGATACGTTTGAAGTTAATGCCTGTTTATGTTCCCAGAGGCTCGAAAGCTATCCTTGCAGGGCGTGTTGTAGTATCTGATGAAAAGGGATCGCGCAGACAGGCCGAGGCAGTTGGTATCTTTATGGTCATTTACCTCATGTGAAACATAACTCAAACTTTTGTCATTAAACTGCACGTCAAGTGATGCGGGACACAGTGGACTCTTCCCTTTTCGTCTCGCTCTCTCAAGCTGCCGTCTCGTACAAAGTTGAAATTAACAAGATAAAGGGCAGCAGCCACCCTCAGGAGTAGCCTAAAAGCAGCACCTCCAAATCTTAGACACTCAAGTAAGGCATGTTTAAAATTTTATGGCCTGGAATGTGGGGCAGCAGAGCGCTTGGTGCTTACAATGGAGAGGCATTATACTTGGAAAGGTCAATTTTAAGTGGAGGTCAAACTTGTTAAAAGACCGGTTTAGATAAAACATTTTTTGTTTTAGCTAAAAGTGTCTTTCTTCAAGATATTAAAATAAAATTTTGTTTCATTGAATTTTAATAATCTTATCTTATTAATTGAAAAATTGTGTTTTCCCATTCAAAAGAAATCACTGTATAGGGAAAATTGCAAAAGGAGAATCTTAGTTGACGGGAGAGGTCAAAGTTTTCCTTTTCATATAAAATTACAATCTCTCTACAGGATCGATTCATAACTGCCGGCGAGAAAGGAAAGTTTTACATCAGCCGCCTGGCTTGCGTTGCTCTTTTTTCCACCTCCATCTCTTTCTCTCTGCCTCTCTATCACTCGCACACGCAGTAGTAGTGTGTTTTATTTTACATAATCAAATTGAAAACTTTTAAAGATCTTTGGGCGCAGTTTCAATATCAGGCATTAGCATAAAAAGTTTAATACAGAACGTGATTAAATTTCCGATGGCTGCGAGAGGGACGCTGAAATGAGACGCGCCTCTGGCAGCGCCGACAATAAAAAAGGCGTCGATCAAATTTTATTTAGTTCGCGCCGAATAAATGGAAAGCAAGCGCCACCAAATCCAATCACTTTCAGCAATTCAATCAGAGCGTGAAAACATTTTGATAATACTGCACCTCATTCATGATCCGTCGGCGAATTGGCTGCATTGTTGTAGGAGGAAGGAAAGCGAAGGAATTTTTGAAGAGGAAATTCTGAGAACGCGGCTTTTGTCTTGGCAAAATTTTGCACGGGGAGTAAAATTAATTTGATTTCCTACCTCCGTTTGCCAAATTTAGGATGGAACCCCAGCACAAAATATCGATCGCAGACACGTGCAAAGGCAAGTTCCAAAATTAATTCGGCGGCAGCAAATTTGATCGCAATTCCACCGCGAAGCAAACTTTTCAGCTGAAGAAGACCTGCCTCTCTTCAAGAGCGACGAATCGGCAAACCGAAATGATTTTCACCCGACGCAACTTGTTTGAGTATAACACTTTAATGGGTACATTTTGTGAGCTTCACTGACTAGATGAATGTAGCCGAGGACACCAGCCAGAGCAAGGCTAAATATTTGAGGGTGGCTCTGCCGCCGAAGTGATGAATACGGCAGTAAAAAAGTTGGAGCCGACCCAATGTGATTGATACAAGAGTCTCTCGCATTACAACAACACGCTATAAATGTAGCTGCGCTCATTTGGTCAAGTGCAGGGCGCAGTCCTTTTTTGCTAGACAAGCCGGCCGGTTATAAATTGGCACGTATTACCGGCAGCATTTCCCAATCGACTCATTCCATAAGCTCTATCCGCGTATAACACTAAAAAATGTCTATCCTATTATCAAACGACGAGCAAGCGAGCGAGACCGGCATCCGCTCTGTGCGAACCGGCCTTTTTCCATCAACTTTTTCCTTAACGAAATTTTTCCAATAGATTTATCTTTGTCCCGTATCTCGTAAGATTGTTTATGGTGTATCTCCGCCTCCCTACCTTCATTTATCTTTGCGCGCAGAGAGAAAGATAGGAGATGAGAGAAAGAGAGCGAGGGAGAACAAAAAGTTAACCTTTCCGGTTTCTCCGGCATTTACTTCTGCAGCTTTTCATCCAACTATAAGGAGCCTAAATAATAAAATACTGAGCTGGTAATATTTCCAGAGCGCGCGGGCAGGAAAAATAAAATACCTCCCGTTTCCTGCTTGCATTGTTTCAATGAAATTTATTTCCTGCCCCGTTGTATATATTCTAAAGAGTGCTTGAGGAACAAACAAACAAAGGCGACGTGAAATATACCAACACACACACAAATATGAGCCATTCCTCGGCAACTTTTCTTGGTACCGCCGAGGAATAATGAGGCGGTGCAAAATATGTTTCCAACGAAAAGGCACCGCAAAATTATGTGTGCGGTTTCGGGCCGAAAAGTTGCTCTCAAGCCTCATCGCGCCTCATACTCGGTGTGTTCGTTTGTAATGGTTTCATTTCTGTGCCAAACAGTTTGCGATAATAATGCTCTTTAGTGCGTCGGCGGCCTCGTAAAAAGCCGCTTTTTATTGTGCATGTGTGTGTGTGTGTGCGAGTGGAGGCGGCGAAAACTCAGCTGGCCCGAAAACAAACCCTTCGTCATGTTCCACTTTGCAGAAATAATTAAAGGCGCCGGCTGGGTCGGGCTGGCAGCGCGCGCTGCCGCCGCCGCCACTGCAAATCGCGCTGCAATCTTAAATTTTAAAGCAAACATCTCGCTCGGCGAATTAAGGACTTAAACGAGGCCGTGCGCGCGCGTGTGTGATTTTGCAAAATGAAATCAGCTAGGAGAGAGCAGAGAAGGACGACGGATATATATGCATAAGCAAGCGTCGTGTTTGCAGAGAAAATATTTGCGAAGCGGCGGTACTCACAGAGAATCTCGAGCTTCCAACCATCTTCCAGGGCGTCGGCGCTGAGGTGAGGGTTTTCGGCGCGACACGACAAGTAGTGCCCCTCGTCCTCCTTGCTCGGTGTGAAGCTCAGCGTCGACGTCGTCGTGTTGCCGTCGTTGGATGACTGCAATTAGTACAAATGGCTCGTGAAATTGTGGAAACAAACCAACAACATTTATTTGCATGAGTTGATAAAGAAAAGTCTAAATCTGCGGAAGGACTTTAGCAGACCGTAGTAAATTATGTTCTTAGCACGTCTCCTTTTTATGCTCGTCGTACTTCTTTTTTTTCTCCGAGACAGCACCCTTTTATGTTCTCCACGGCAATTGTGCAGAAAGAAATAAAGGGGGGCCGTCGCCAGTTGTTGGGCTGCCGTCCATTTATTGCTAAATGCTTTACTGGGCGTTATGAAGTGACGAATGTGCGAGGGGTCAGGAGTCGGTCGGGGACTTGATGGATGGTTGAGCTAACAAATGGGATAAACACGCCTCCGCCCAATCAATACGGCTCATCCTCATTTGGGATCAAAACAAAGTTTTTTCCTGTGACGCAGATGTGAAAATTTTGAAATTCGCTTTAGCCAAAAGACGAATATCAATATTGGATGAGTTCAGTCATATTTGTACGAAACACAATAAAATGATCAAATTACGATAAAATCCGGAGCCATGAAAAATTTTACACCAAAATTGCAAGCATAATATTGATTGAAATAAAAAAAAAACTCTGAATTCAAACAGCATTAAACGATAGTGAACGCCAACATTACTCTAATTAATAGTGACTCGTTTGACTCTGATGTTGGTTTTGCAACACGTGTGTGCTTGTGTGTACACCACGGATCGCAAACCCTCAGAAGGAAATTGAAAATGCAAACTACACAGGAGTCGAAGCGCATAACCTCTAAAGTGCAGGTTAACGAGAATCAAGAGGAAATGGTGAATGTAATCAAGTTACTTGCATCTATCGCACTCTAGTTAAATTTCAATCTCGAATGATCATCGTAGTCTTTGATGTGTTTGATGAGAACACCTTGCTTCATTATGTAAACGCGCGAAGGGCAAATCGCGGTTTCTAACAGATCCGTTAACGTTACGTTAATTTAACATCATGGGAGTGCTGTGTTGTCGTTAACAAATTTAATTATAAATCAAAATATTATTTTGCTACAATTTGAAATGCAGGCCATAAGAATAAGTAGCTTAGTTTTAAATTTAGAAGGGGTTGATGAATATTTGAGTAATTTAATCAAGCTGAAGACCTAAATACAGCAGCTGATTTGAATTTTAAGCCTAAAATTTACTAAAAATCAAAGATACCTTAATTCTGAATTGTGAACAGTAAGGAAAAATTTCATGAAAATTGTATTCTATGATACATTATTTTGTTAAATGTTGTTAAATAAAACAATTAGTTTCAACAATTGGTTTAAACAATTGAATATAAATAATTTGACGACAGAAGATAGGAATTTGCATAAATAAACAATTACTTTTGTTAAAAAAAATTGACACTTGAGGAGATGATCACGGAAATGAAGAGATAGGTCTTTTCCTCGTTGCAGAAATTGCTTTTATTCATTAAAAAACCAAATGGCTCTACCAATTTCGGTCACGGTCTGCGACCCTATATTTCATGAGCAGAAAGAAAAAATACAATAAATTTTTATCATGAAATAGTGTAGCAGACCTTGACCGAAACCGACCGAAACTGGTAGAGCCAATTGTTTTAGAATAAAAGTAATTTCTGCAACGAGGAAAAAACTGATCTCTACATTTCCAATAATAATTATATATTTATAGTAAACATTAAAATAATACTTCAATAAATTCCAATAATTATTATGGATAAAATTATACATTAATTTAATATATAATTATAAAAATGTTCCAATTGTATTTCATAAATATTTTTTATGAATTTTATGGCAAAAAGATGGGAACTAATTTTTGTAAATAAAAATATCTAATATTAAAGCATTTGTTTCAACAAATAAATAATTATATTATCACAAAAATATTAAGAAACAAAATTAGCACTTACAGTTTCTTTGGACTTTGTGAGCCGTTGTCCATTCCTCCACCAAGTGATGGCCGCTGGAGGCCTTGACCCTGAGGACTGGCAGAGGAGGTCATACCGCCGACCGGCCGAGAGAGGCTGATTAGCACCCAAGATCAGCACGTTCAGGGGCCGAACTGCAACAAAACGGCAAAGCTCATTAAATGGAATAAGGAGAAAGCGGAGGCCGCGTTAGTTTCCAGACCAACAACTTGTTCCCTACTTATGACTTTGGTGCGGAACAGCGGCGCGTCGTAATTCAAAATAAACTGTGCCCGTATGCGTGTGCTGAAATGGGACAGCGTTTGTACTGTAAATTTTAATATACATATCGGGCTGCCCGAAAAGCGAGGGTGACGAGAAATAGCGAAACGCAAGATGTGACTGCGGCAAAAGTATGTGCACTAGGCATACACACGCATGAACTCTCTGGATGGGTTAATATGAAGTCATGACAGTAATATATTCATTTGAAATTTAATATGTGAACTCGCACGAGCAGCAGCTGAGGAGGGAAAATGGCACGAGAAGAAGAAGAAGAATGGCCCGACTCTCGCAACAAGATGGGCCTTTCTGCTTTTTGCCAGAGCGAATTTGCACAAGAGGTGGCAGCAGCTTTTTGCCCGAGTGGTCGAAATTGCTGAGCGCGATATTGTACTTTACACGTGCTGTCATAAATCACGGCGCAAAAGAGTGACCGGAGGCTAAGTGTTTAGCATTACTTTCATTGTTTTTATCGTTCATACTCTCTCGAGACTTGCAATAAATTTCATCAAGAGCGCGCTCGCTTTTTGTGTTTGGTGGCAGAAAAACTGAGAGGATCAACTTTTCTTCAGATGAAGGAAGGAAGTAAAAGAATATCGAGGGAAAACAACTTTATACGAAGAAGAAGGAAGTTGGAAAAGAAGACGTTGAGAAAAACCAATTTATTTATCAGTTCGATATTTCGTTCGTTTATATGGAAATTAAATTTTCTTATCTTACTTCGCCGTTCTCCAATAACAAAAAATGTTCGTAACTTTTCGTCTGATCCTTTAGCTTATTATTGGTACGAAAATCAATCTGAGCTCATCGTGAAATTGGTTAATATCAAATGAATAAAAAAAATATGCGCCCTGCTTAAAAAAATGATACAAAAAAATAACAAGCCTAATTTATTTCCGCTCTGCTCGTTGGCGGCGAAATAATTAATGGCGTGTGCGTGCGGCAGGCATCATTGCATCAGTCAGACGGCTGACAAGCAAATAATATGCAAAACATCTTTTTTTTTCGAGTTCGCCAAACAGCCAAGACAAGTTGTATCTTCTCGGGCGACGGCGTCTCCGCTGACAGGGCAAACAAAGGCCAAGTGCGCTCATCACGTCAAAGAGAAACGGAAAGGGATGAGCGAAAGAGGAGAAATGAGATTCAGCAGCCACATGCATCTGAAGACCCGCAATTTGCCAACCTGACTTTTTATTTTTCATTGAAACAAAAGAAAAAAAATATTAAATGTTTGAGAAATTGCACTCTACTCAAAAAACCGGCGAACAAATAAGACCATAAAAATGGGCAAAAGCAGACCACTTTGCTTGTTAAGCTCGCGTTGGACCGATGCCAGCTGTGTATGGTCTGGCGAAAAAATTCGTCTTCAAACTGCACATTACGCCAATGGCAACGAACCAAATTTATAAATATAGGGAAATAAAATTTCGATAGCGGCAGCAGTTTGTTTCTTTCTTTCCTTTCTCCCTCCGCTGCTGGCTCTGAATTTTTAATATGCACCCTGATCGAACCCCCACGTTCCATCGAATTAGTTTCGTTTTTATCTCATTTTGCCAGTCAGAAAAATACCACCATGGCCCGAGGGAAAGCGTGTGGAAACAATTGACCGGGAAAAACTCCGGCTTTAGAGTTGGATTCAATTTCTCGGCATTGTGTTTAGCGCGGGGAATAATAGTAATAATCAGTGCTTTTTACGCCGGCAGGCTGTCATTTCGATATCGCCGTCGCACGAAGGGTGTCGGAGGCGGCACACGGTGCAGCGTCTTGAAGTTTCCATTATTGCAGACAAACTTTGCCTCCCAACATTTTAGAGTGTCACTTTGTCCGTGAGCTTGTCAAAGAGAAAGCGAGGAAAAAGGAAGATGAAGGGCGGAAAAACAGCCGCGTTTCACACACGCTGCACGCAGACTTGCTCGCTCTCTCCGGCGGCGGCGGCTTCACCTCATCTCTTTCTGTTTATCTCGAGAGTGAGGAATAAGAGCGCGGCCCGAATTGAATTCAGCCCCGACGACATCTTTTATTTACTACCGGGGGCGCCTTTAAAGGTGCTTAGTCGTCTTGTTTGTGTTGCGGCGAGACTCATTCAAATCGCTCTGCTCCGCAGAACATGACGCTGCATCCGAAAATATTCGTGCCTCCAGAGCTGTCGAAGCTGTTTTCGCAAATCCCATTACGCCTCTTGCTCGCTCCTCTCCACTCACCCCCTTTGCGGGTTCGGGCCAAAAATGGGCCACAAAAAGTTTCGAACGGTCGGTAAAGGAAAAGAACTTTTGGAACGGCTGCCGAAATTGCGAGAAATTATTACTCTGGAGGCGTATCTAGCTCTTGCTATTGCGGTAGAGATCGAGACGGCGTTCCAAGTGAAACATTTAGTTAATACTTTACCGCAGCCAGACGCCGAAATAGATTAAAAACAGTGAGTTGATAGATATTTCTAGCAAGAAGGTTTTTACTTTTGCTATTTGATGTAAAACTATGCAATACAATTAGATATCAACAATAAAACAAAAAAACAAAAAAATGTATTTTTTCATTGAATTTCGAATATCTTTTTTGTATTGCAACATAAATTAATAAATCCAATTAATTTTTTTCATGCATAATTGATATTAAGTAGTTGAAATATAAAATTATTTTAACCAGCTATTGCGTGACATTTTAATAATTTTAAATAATAATAAAAAACTATTTTGGAACTTTCTTTATCCGTCAAATATGAATGAAATTGAGTTTCGATCTAGACATTAAAATGATTTGAGCCAATTGTGCTGGTGAAGTTTACCCTGTAAAAAATAAATCCAGAAACCTTCAAACCATAGATCAAAATTAAAAAAAAACCCATCAAAGTTTCGCGACGCTATATAGCAAAGGACCAAGCAACAATAGGAGCAAAGCCCTAGAAAAGCAAAATCCCATTGAAGCGATTGCGAATAAAAGGAGACTCAACTTGCAAAATCTATTAATAGCAAAAGCATGGGCGGGCCGTCGGCGGCCGCTTTTGCTTGGGCTCGACAATTAAAAGTAATCTGTAATTTCATTGTGCCAAAGTGTTTGTGCAGCGAGCACAACTCGTCGGTTGCCGCCGCCGCGCTCTGCGTGTGTTTGTTGTGTGCGAATGTGTGCGAAAGAGCGACTCTCTCTACAGCACAATGGCCAGAGAGAGTCGACAGTCGACACAATGCGCGAGCACAGGCCTTTGTTGGTGTTGCTACAACAAATCCTTGGATTAACGTTTTATTTATTTTGCCAACTGAACGGGCATTAAAACATCAGAAAATTCGCCAAATCCGTTGGAAAGAAAGGGGGACGTTAAACCGGCGCAATTGATTCGAAAAACTGTCCTGCGGAATTAAAAAGAGATTGCTGACGCACGGGAATAAGTGAAAAGCGCGGTGCTTGTTATTCCTCTCTTTCAGGCAGCATCAGCGCGCGCTGACAAAGGCGGAGTTTTGCTCGTCATTATTTTTCACAGCCGTATCAAATTCTCTGAAGAATTAATGATCGAGAATTCGGAGAGCTTCAAACGGTGACACTTTTGCACAAAACCTGCGCATTACATCAATATTCAGAGAAAATTTATCCCTTCTCTGCGGTCGTACAATGTTTTCCTCCGCCGCTGCCAAACGTATTGTGTCTTTCATTCTTTGTGTGCAAAACATGGAGCTGGGGAATAGAAAATAGCGAGCAATGCTTCCTTCGCTTTTTATGAGCGGAAAAATTTATACCAGTCGGAAAGCAACGCGAGAGGCGCCCGAGGGAATAAATATTGAAACTTGATTTTCGCAACTGTGCGCCGTATTTATTGACAGAGGGCTTTCTGGGAGACGAAGTTTCTCGCTCTCGAAATGCGCAGAGCAGTCTCGCTGCCACTTGCGAAATTTTGGCGACAGGCTCGCTCTTCAGTGTTCCGGCAAAGTTAAACACAAAAGTGATATCCTTAGCAAATTCGACACGGAGACTGAAGTTTTTGTTACAATACAAAACAACATGGAAATGGTGAAATTCCGCACTTTTTGTGAAGGGTCCAGTTGAACTGTTTCTATTTCGTGCTATATTCTGAAAATAACAAAATTGTTCTCTCATGGGATTTTTTATAAGAACATTAAAACGCAATATTATTAAATAGTTCATTTCCAGAAAAAAGGAATGTACATCGCTGAAATAAATATAAAAGATTGATACGAAAAAAAAGTAAAAAAAAAAACAATAAATTTTTGCTACCTGAAAGCGATGAAAGTTAGCCGAAATTTAGTGGTTCAATAGAAATTTTACTTATTTATTATTTATTTTTCAGTAAAACAGGCTTTATTTTTGTCTTTAATTTTGGCCTCACAATTCAGTTTTTCTAGATCTCTGAAAAATATAATTAAACGATCAAATTAAATTCAAACGAAGTTTCTTTATAAAGGTATGTCTAGTTATGTTGGTTTAAAATAAAAAGAAATTTTATTTTTAAATTTATTTAAATGATTGGAAACTTTTTTTTAATATTTCGAATATATGACTTTTGCAGCTATGGTGCAGAACTGGAGCAGAATTGGTACTGAACTGGTGTAGAACTGATGCAGAAGAGCTGCACAATTTCAGCATACGTTCTGCATACGTTTTGCACCAGGTATGCACTATTCCTAAATTTGAAAAATTTTGATACAAAAAAAATCCTGAAAAGAATCTAAAATTTTTTTAAAAAATTTTAAAACTTATTTTGCTCAAGACATGATTTAAAAATTTCACTAAAATAAATAAATGTTAATGATCAAGTATTTTTTTTTTAAATTTTAACATTTTATTATAGTTGGGAATGTGTGAGAGGAGTTATTTAAGATTTTAGTTAGAAAATAGCTCTTTTTATTACAAAATTCAATACATTTTCTTCCACCTTGAAAACGTTTTGCTAAAATTATTAATTTATTATGGAGGTCGTCACGAGCACTGCAAATTAGCGAAGGGTCTTTTGGGAAAGTGAGAAAATCAAGAGACGCAACATAATGAATTTAAGCATAGGCATCGAATTTCCACTCCCTCCGTGTAACAAAAGCTCGTTGAGTTTATAACGCTGGGAGATTTTGCACATTTTTATTAGCAAGCCGCGTTGAAGAACTCTCGCAGTTCGTTCTCTCTCTCAATTTGCCACGAAAGCCTCGCAGGCTAAATCACCTCGCTATAGAGCGCGAAATTAAAAAAAGAGAGAGGTCGCACACTTCAGCACAATCACTGCCGTATAACGAAGTTAAGAATTTCCAGCGGCGGGAAATAATTTCGCAACGCGGTGCCGAATTAGGTGCGGCTGCCCGAGGAAAAATCTTGAGCGTTCGTGCGTCTCTCTAGTGTGGAGTGGCGGCGCTGCGTGCACTTGTAAATTACATAAAACTGGATCTACAGGCGGGCAAAAAGTAGCCTAGGCTCTAACAAGATTGAATAAGGCAAGTAGGACCCTCCGTCGGCCCTTTGCTTGCCAACAATCAAATTACAGCAGCCCATATAAACCGGCCAAAGTAATGGCCACGTCCAGTTTAGCACCAACTTTTGTCCCGTCCGCCCAAAGGGGTCGCGCGAAACAATTTCGCGCAAATCGTTGTCGGGCCGGCCCGGCAATATTTGGCTTTTGTTTCGCTGCGTTTGGCCCGCTCAGGCCAAAGTTGGCTCCCGATTGCGGTTACTTGATCAAAATCCAATAAATACTCTTGTTTAGGGCCGAGTTTTTTCCCCAATATTTTCTCTCTACTTTTTGCTGCCGGCAAGTCATTGGCGAGTGCGCGCGCGCGTGAATTGGTGCTCGCCAATCCTAAATAGCTGCGAGCTGAAATAAATTGAAAACATGAACTGAATGAGAAACTCTCTCTTGTTCATAATCAATAATAAATTCATACTGCGAGATTGGATATCGAAATATAAAAATGAAAAAAGCAAGGAAAAAGGAGCGGAGCCTGCACGGGTGGGCGGTAATTTCCTATAGCTTGCAATACACACACGCACTCGCTGCTGTAAGAAATTATCCCCGGGTTTAATATTCTCCAAAACGAACGGGCCGTCTGTCACAAGCCTTCTCTCTTGCTCGCCGCGTTTTGTTCCGGGAAAATCGATAGACCTGGGAAATCACTTTCCGCACACGCTTTTATTTATTCTCGCAGAACGGGCGGATTTGCACGCAGTGGCGGATTTATATTATTATTTCTACGGACGGGTTCAAATTACAAAGTGTGCTCACTGTGACAGAAACGTATCGATAAAAACGGGGAAAAATGAAACAGAGTTGGAATCACATTATTCCTTGTATTACATAAGCGCTTTTACGAATTTTCTAGAATCTTGGTGGGATAATTGTTTATTTTAACTTCAAGATTTGATGTAACTCGATTTTGCAGTGAACTGAATAGGAACGTATCTCAAAAGACGCGCCGATTTTTTTTTTACTTTAAAAGGACATATTATTTTATTTTTATTTGAGTCGCAGAAACATAAAACAAATCAACCAGAATATCTTGTCTTTCAAGAGACAAAAATTGAGCAAAAAATAAAATATTAAAGAATAATTTTCAGTACTTTAAATTTTTCATGTTTGAAGAGATGTAAAATAAATAATTATTATATTATCAAACCATTTTTGTATCAACAAAATTATCCATAAATTTAAATTGTAAATTATCATATATAATTTAACTTTCATTCTTATTTCTTTTAAAATACTTTTTTAATTTGCTAGATTTAATTAATTTGCCTGTTCTAAATAAGTGTTTTCATTATACAAAGGGTGCTTTTGTTAGTTCAAAATAGCATTTTCCTCTTTAAGCTTTTCTGCTTAATGAAGCAATAGTAAAATCTAATCCATAACAATTCTCCTCTGCAGAAATATTATTAGAAAATCATTCGTCCTAAAATTTTTTAGAGTTATTCTCACCAATACATGTATTCAAATTTACGATAAATTTAAATTATTGTAATTAGGAAACTTATTTATTTTAATCCTTTTTTGCAATATAAGTATTTTTAGTCAAATTATTCCATACTTTATTTTCACATTTATATTATTTACGATTAATTATTATCCTACGAACGGTTGCAATTCTTTTCTAGAAACTGGTCATCATTTGAGCTGGGAGAAAATAGCAAGAGTAGTTTTTCGAATTTTGATTTGGCACGCAGATCATCATCTATCTTCGTTTCGCACGAAAAAGAAACCGCAAGCGCCAACTTTTCCCACGTGCCACAGCACCGCGGGAATGTTTTGGTGCATCAGCAGAATCGTCAAAACGGAGGCGGTAAAGCCGCGTATAAGAAAAGCGGGAGGGAGGTCGGAAGTTCCATAGAAAACACACTCACAGTTCATGTCGACGTGGACGCTGGCCGAGAGGGGCGCCGTCTTATTATTATTAATGGCCTGACAAGTGAGTTCCGAATGGACGTCCTTCCTGTCCAGCTGGTCAATTAGAATTTCGGCGCTGACCACACCGCTGGGCGACTGCTTCTTTCTGCGAGGCGTCGCACTGGTCACCACCACATCGTTGCGCAGCCACCGCACTCTCGGCACCGGCTGACCTGTAACAAAGTTTCCGCCATTAGTTCCAATTAAAGTTTCCTATTGAAAAATTCAGGACGCGCCGAGTTGAGAGAAGGGATAAAGCAACATTAAAAGTTCCTTTCTTTAGCCAAACAAAAGCCAAATTCTCTGGAAAAAAGTAGCACCTGAGCTCCAGTGCCCATAAATGTCAAAAGTCTGCTCTTTGAATATCCCAGGCGTTGCGTTATTGATGGCTAAGCTGCGGATAATTCCTCACAGCGACTGACTAGGGGAGTTCGCGCGCGAATCTCGTGAAAAGTTTCTTCCCTTGTCAGTGTGCACACCCCCAGAGACGGCGCCTGTCAAACGCACCCCGTGTTTCGGCCTCACACTATTATATTTGGTAGAGATTTGGCCAGAATGCTGTTTATTTTTGTGTTTGTTCTTTCACCACCATAAATAAAAGTTTATTGTGTGTGATACAAGAATGACAGGCACAGTAAATGAAAAAATTAATATAATAATGAAATGAAGCTTCTAATCAGCAGCAGGAAACAGACCAAACAAGTAAATATAAAAGTTCAGCAAAATTGATTGATTAATTAAACTTGCTCATCGAAGGTTTGTTCAATGTAGATTTTGTTTTGATACCAAATAAATATTTTTAGATAATGACATAATGATTCAGGAAAAAGTAAGAATTTCAGGATATTTATCTGTCATGCTTTGCTCGGTCTTAATTAAATGATTTATGAAAGTTTTAGTTTAAGAAATAAAGGAAATATAATTAATATTTTTTTAATTAAATTTTACAAATGCTTTTAATTTAAACAACGTCAAATATCATTAAAAGATCCATGAATCGATTTAACCTAATATTTTTTAATTATTACATTACTAAAATAAATTCATTCATAAAAAAATTACAATTAAAAATATTAAAATAGCTTTTATCATTTAATTTTAACCTTCAACATATGAAGTTGAAAATAAAATTTGTACATGCTTTTTCCATTTTATTCTCTCAATGTTTACTCCATTTTCAAGATGGTGGCATTCAATTAACTTCTCTGATAAGGGTTAAGAAAAATTGAAGCGTTTCATATCTCAAGGACTCGCTCGTCTTGTGTATTTTTTCTCTCTCCATCAAAGAATACGGCGCAGTTTGCTAACAATGCACTTCTTCTCAAAGCAGGTATCATTATTATTTCCACACCCACAGTGCTTCCCACTTTATCAACGGCGACCTGAAGGCTGACTTTCTTTCACATTTGATATTTTTCAATTATGCGCCAAAGAAGAGCTGTTTCAAAAAGCGTACAAAAAAGGAGAGCCGGATGAAAAGATGGATTAAGCCTCTTAAGTAGCGCATTGATCAAAAGAAGCGAAGCCTCTCCACCATTGTGCAATTTTAGACTCGACTTAGCTGCCGCGGATATATCGTCTGCTCATTTTTTTGCCATTTAATTGGCACGTGGAAATCGTGGCAATTCGATTTTCCGCTTCCAGCTTTTGCGCCTCCTCATTATAAATGCCGTCTTTAACAATGATCACGAATTCAAAAGGAATGGTTTGTTAGTTTATCGAATATAAATTTTTAATATAAAATTATATATTTCTGTCCTTTTTTGCAAATGGGTCCGTAATGAAAAAGTGGAGGTGATGATATTTCAAAGGACCACTGGAGCGTTAAATGAAATTTCGCAATTGAGAGCTCGTCAATTAGTGAGCACGCGAGAACAGGGAATTTATATCGATTGCACTTTGCAGTCGTAATCAAAATTGACGCTCCATTAAAATCGCAATTGCATTTATTAACTCGATGGACATTTGCTCCGCACGTTCTCGTTTCGTCGATTAGGATCGACGTGGCAAGCAGGGCAATAACTTTGTTAATCTCTGATCAATAAATTCGGGAGCAAACACTTCTGACTGAGCGAAAATAATTCCAAAATTTCCTGCACGTGCGTTGTTAGGTGTAATTTTGATTGAAGCCTGTCAGAGGTTCAGAATAATATTCCCGCTTCCGCTCGCGCGCCGAGGGATTAAAGCTCTGCTGGCAAAATTTACCTTTTCATCGCAGGGGAATACATTAGACGCTAAGTAAATAAACGCGTCGCGATTTTCAGGCTCTCTGAGTAAATATGTGCATGTCTGCGCGCGAATTTGTGCTCCAGGCCGTGGTAAAAAGCGCATTTTGAAAATCATATAATCCCTTTACCGGTTCTTGTGGGTGGCTAATTTATTAAAACCAATCAGACCAATTTTCACATACACCCGACATAAAATATTAAATTTTTTTCAATGCGACTCCTATCAAAAACAACTTTTATCCCACTAGAGAAATATCCATAAAAACATTACAAAATGGTTTTATTCATGATGACGGCGCTTTAAAGGGGCATTTCGCAACACTGCAGCTGCGACGGCACGTTACTGGTCACATAAAAATGTAATCAGCAAGTGGTGAGCTGCAGGGAAAAGACTGACTGACGCATGTATATCCACAGGAAGCTCGGATCTCACAGCAAAGCGCCGAGACTGTTCCCCGCATGTATTTATACTGACGCATAATCTAGCTGCTCTGATTTCCTTGTGGAATATGTTTCTCCGCCCTTATTATGGCAGCCGACGCGAGTTTACAAAAGGGAACGCCGCCTGGATTGTATAACCTTTTTCCGGGTTTCCCCGGCCAATTGTATCTAATTATACTTAAACAAGGAATACTTGTAATAATGTAAGGTATAAATCGCTAGCTGCGGGCACTGAAATTTGTATACATATTCAAAAGAATTTGATAATAAAAAATTGCAAAATGTTTTTTTTTTCAAATAATGTAATATCAATGATAATGTAGTACAAACTTAGATTTTTTTACCATGAATGTACAGTATTTAATTAAAAAAAGAATAAAAATAACAAATTAATTTTTAGAGGTTCCTTTGGAAATATATTATATTGAAAACACAAGAAACTTAACATGATTTTTATACTCCCTTAATCCATTCTAACATGAATTTACTGTTTTCTTGTATATTTATCACAAGCAGAAGCAGAGCAGAAGAAGAAAAAAAAAACACTTCAAACTACAGAGCGCGCGACCACAGTCAATTCCAAATTTTTATTCAGAAATAGTAGTAGGATCCAATCCCGACCGTGTTTGGCAGAAAATTTTAACCAAAATCAACGAGTTTAAATATTTGTGAAAATATTTAATTTAAATCACCAAAAGATTAAAATTAATTTATTTTATAACAAGGTGGAAATTTCTGAAAGAAAAGGAGAAATGTAAAATTGTTAGGTGTTCCCTTTATGAGCGTGGCGAGAAGTGGGCACATAAAAGGTTAAAGGCGCTTGATAAATAATCTTGATGCAAATCCCCGTGAGGTAGCGAGCAATGCATCACCGCATTGTTGACCCACGCGCCCTCGGTCCAAGAAGTGCAAACATTAATTATGACGATTGTGTTGGCTGCGACAACGGCAGGGAGGTGGGCGGGCAGGTCACCGGGTGGGTCGGCTTGTGCCTCGCCACCGGTGCAAAACACCAGGTAAACTTGAGAGCAAGGGCGGCGTGTTTGCCGAGTCACTTGCGCCGGTGGTGGTGGCGGCGGCGGCGGTGCGCCTTTTCGCCCCCTACGCTGTAATTAGCCCTTCCGAATGGGAAATTAGAGGCGCGCCCGCCGGATTTGCTCGCCACCGTGCACGCTGAATATAAATAAATTTTTCCCCTTGAGGCTCAATCCCAAGCAGACAGAGCGAGTGCGGAAAAGGCGATTTGATTATTTTGCGCCTTTTGGTGCGGACAGCACGGTGAATTAAACGGGCCACGCAAAAATACGTTTTCCCTGTTCCAAATGAGAAATAAACCTGTCGCGAAAATTAATTAAACTGCGATTGCCGATCACGAGCAGGAAAAAGTTGCTCTTTTCATCGTTCTAATTGCTAAACCCGGCAACCACTGGTTGAAATTCGCAAAAAAATGAGGAAAATGAAAAGGCCGGAATAAAAATCTCTCTCAACGGGTTTTAGATTGAATTGCTAATTAAAGGCAATTATTCATTGAAAAAAAAAATACAAAAGAATGAATTGAGATAAAATTGCTGTTTCCAGGTATATGGTGTGCCTTTTTACGTTATCAAATATTATAATATAGTTTTTATATTTTTAACAATTTTTTTTTTTAAATAATTGTTTCTTTATTTTAACGGTATTTGATGTTTGTTTATTAAGTTTTGCTTTTAATACCATAAATTTTTTTCCAGCAACATTAAATCGCTATTTCATCTCCATTAAAAAAATGATCTTTGGTTTATTTATTAGATCTAATAACCTCTATTTTTTTAGATGAAATTGCCAACTACGGGAAACTAATAAACAATTAATTGCAAAAATGTAATATTTTTCATTCTCCTCAGACTAGATTTTCACGCAATAAAGAATTACATTTTGAATCTTAAAACAAGTTTAAATATTTTTTTTCTTGTGAGTGAAAGGGAAGAAACAAGAAGGGAGCTGCATATTATAAAGTATCAAACTGAGATTTTAATTATTTAAAATGATAGCTAGGGTTTTTCTGGAAATGTAATCTTCCCCCTTTCTTGTGGAAAGCGTCGGGAATGGAATGGCACCTCACCTAACCTAATTGGCGGAATTGAATCCGACTTTTCGCCGAGGAGACGAGGTGTGCTAACAAGGCTCGGATGGATGGATAATGCGCCGACGAGCGAAGTAGTTCTTGTTTGTTTCTCCATGAATACGTATAATTAGAAAGGAAGGGTGGCCCCGGCAGAGAATTCGCTCGCCAAAGCTCATCTCGAGCGACGGCGGCTGCTCCACTTGCAAGTCTGTTGCCAGTTTATATAAAATCTCATTACCGCCTTATGTATTATTACTTGTGTAATAAGCAGCATTAAACTTTTAATGGAATAAAAACACTGCTGCTGATTATTGCTTCTCTGTTGTTGTTATTATTATTATTTCATACGCCTCCAAGTAGGCACAGAAGGAGAAACTAGAAAGCTCATTTTGGAAAGGTG